ACAGAGCCCCAGGACAACAACAACAACACAATTAGACCCAACCGAATCATGAGAAAACAAAAAGAGAATTACTTGACACATTGGAAAGAATTAACAAAAAAAATGAGCAAACTAGAATTCTATTTGGCCCTAAACAGAGAGTACACAGTGGCAGAATACCTGACCACTGTGACTGACCCAAACTTAAGGAAAGCTTTGACTATGTACAGACTCAGGGAGCATAGCCTTGCTATTGAGAAAGACCACCGTAGGCAGACCTGGCTCTCAAGAGACAGGCTATGTGCACACTGCCCACAAAATGAGGTGGAAACTGAGCTACACTTCCTAACCTCCTGCCAAATGTATGACCATATTAGAGACACATACAGTTGAAGTCGGAAGTTTACATACAACATAGCCAAATACATTTAAACAATGTTTTTCACAATTCCTGACATTTAATCCTAGTAAAAATTCCATCTTAGGTCAGTTAGGATCACCACTTCATTTTAAGAATGTGAAATGTCAGAATAATAGTAGAGAATGATTTATTTCAGCTTTTATTTCTTTCATAACATTCCCAGTTGGTCAGAAGTTTACATATACTCAATTAGTATTTGGTAGCATTGCCTTTAAATTGTTTAACTTGGATCAAACGTTTCAGGTAGCCTTCCACCAGCTTCCCACAATAAGTTGGGTGAATTTTGGCCCATTCCTCCTGACAGAGATGGTGTAACTGAGTCAGGTTTGTAGACCCATTTGCAACCAAGCTTTAACTTCCTGACTGATGTCTTGAGATGTTGCTTCAATATATCCACATAATTTTCCTTCCTCATAATAATATGCCATTTAGCAGACGCTTTTATCCAAAGCGACTTACAGTCATGCGTGCATACATTTTTGTGTATGGGTGGTCCCGGGGATCGAACCCACTACCTTGGCGTTACAAGCGCCATGCTCTACCTTCCTCATGATGCCATCTATTTTGTGAAGTGCACCAGTCCCTCCTGCAGCAAAGCACCCTCACAGCATGATGCTGCCACCTCCGTGCTTCATGGTTGGGATGGTGTTCTTCGGCTTGCAAGCACCCCTTTTTCCTCCAAACATAACGATGGTCATTATGGCCAAACAGTTCTATTTTTGTTTCATCAGACCAGAGGACATTTCTCCATAAAGTATGATCTTTGTCCCCATGTGCAGTTGCTTTTTTATGGCGGTTTTGGAGCAGTGGCTTCTTCCTTGCTGAGCGGCCTTTCAGGTTATATCGATATAGGACTCGTTTTACTGTGGATATAGATACTTTATACTTGTTTCCTCCAGCTTCTTCACAAGGTCCTTTATTGTTTTTCTGGGATTGATTTGCACTTTTCGCATTAAAGTACATTCATTTCTAGGAGACAAAACGTGTCGCCTTCCTGAGCGGTATGATGGCTGCGTGGTCCCAAGGTGTTTATACTTGCGTACTATTGTTTATACAGATGAACGTGGTACATTCAGACGTTTGGAAATTGCTCCCAAGGATGAACCAGATTTGTGGAGGTCTACAATTTGTTTTCTGAGGTCTTGGCTGATTTCTTTTGATTTTCCCATGATGTCAAGCAAAGAAGCACTGGGTTTGAAGGTAGGCCTTGAAATACATCCACAGGTACACCTCCAATTGACTCAAATGATATCAATTAGCCTATCAGAAGCTTCTAAAGTCATGACATCATTGTCTGGAATTTTCCAAGCTGTTTAAAGGCACAGTCAACTTAGTGTATGTAAACTTCTGACCCACTGGAATTGTGATACAGTGAATTATAAGCAAAATAATCTGTTTGTAAACAATTGTTGGAAAAATTACTTGTGTCATGCACAAAGTAGATGTCCTAACCGACTTGCCAAAACTATAGTTTGTTAACAAGAAATTTGTGGAGTGGTTGAAAAATGAGTTTTAATGACTCCAACCTAAGTGTATGTAAACTTCCGACTTCAACTGTATTTCTCTCAGATTACAGAGATCCACAAAGAATTTGAAAACAAACCCAATTTTGATAAACTCCCTTATCTACTGGGTAAAAAACCACAGTGTGTCATCACAGCAGCAAGATGTGTGACCTGTTGCCACAAGAAAAGGACAACCAGTGAAGAACAAACAGCCACTCAGTCTGATATCTATGTTCACATTTTCTTCTTATCTCAATTCAATTATCTCCCTCTTGTTTTCATTCCTTTTTTCAGAAATGAAGTTTCACACCCTAAAGTAACTCATTACTTTCTTGTGCTCATTTACTGTAAAATAAATCAAGTGCTTGAAGTTGTGAGTAGATAATGTTGTTGTGACCAAAACGTTAACTACAGTAATACTGAAACGTATACTAAATTATATTTTCCAAAGGTTAAAAAAACGATACAATCTATGGTTGAAAGCTGTGCTCTTATATGCCATACCCTCTCAATGTATGCTTTAGAATGGGGTGTACTGTAGTCTGGTGCTTTGACATTGATAAGGGTAATATTAACTGTTGCGCAACATCCAGGAACTATAAACACTTCTAAGTAAGAAGTTAGCCCCTCCCATATGGCACTGGCCCCAACCTCTCTGAAAGTCCCTTAACAGACGGATAAAGTACAAGATGAAAGGTAAAAAAGAGGATATATGCAGGGTCCACTTCCTCTAGGGCAGACACAGACATACAAACACAGTCCTGAATGTACATATACAGTTGCAAGCACACCTGCACACACCAACCCCCTTACCCTCTATGGATGATGGTATGATCTGGTTTCTGCCACTACATTTAAGGGATAGCTCCATGTGTATAAATACTCACACACCTGCTGTGGTAATGGTGGTGGGGAATTTAGGGGGAACCACCCGTCCCTGTCCCTCTGACCACCATCCAAATAGAGTCTGGGTATGATCAACACCCTGACACCTCCTCCCCTCCCCCCTTGTGGTCTGCCATCATGGTCTGTGTGCACTGTTTCCAAAAATACCAGATTCCTAATATGCAATTCCAGTCTGAAATAACAGTTTCACTAACCAGCTACATCTGTTCTGACTCGTATAATAGATCATGTGGATCTATGTACACAAAGACCAGCAATTCAACTTCAAGCAGACGACTACAATCAGACCTGCATTCAAATACATGTGCATTTCTGTATCTGGGTCGTTCCACTAATTGGGTGCCTTTTGAGTAGTCTAACTTAAAATAAAGAAAATGATTTCACCTAATGTTTATGTCCTGTTTACCTAATTTTTACATGTTAAACTTAATAAAAAACACTTTCCATCTCAAGAGGTTAAATAAAAAAAAATACTATAGTAAGTGTCAAATAAAGTAACAGGGTTGACGATTTCATTATAAATCATCCATAAATCCCCTTGTGACAGGGTGAATGGAAGCTTGTTGTGTACAACAGAGAGGGGCAATTGAATGCAAACTTCACACACTTTTTTTTATTGTTAAAACATCTGTAGCCTATCTATCGGTAACAGGGTTGATGTGTTATGCTCGACCCCACTCACATTTCTACCTCAAAACACCAGAAAACCTGCTTCTACACTATGATTTGATTGTTATATGTTCAGTGTTTCTTTTGTAAAAAAAAAAAATAAAAGGAATAGTTTCATCATATTAAAACGAGAGTTCAGTTCACGTGACAGTGTTTACCGTAAAATGAGGGACAGACGTAAATGAATCACTAATCACATGAAATAAATAATAATTCTTCAGATATGACTTTGTCAAAGCAACAAAATAATTAAGGCTTTACAATGATGGTGAAAACTTGGAGACATTTTGGGGTTAAGTGGGTTAAAATCCTAGAAATCACAGAGGGTGCACAGAGGGGCATGTCAAAATGTAGAATTTTGGCACTTCAGCAAATCTTTTTCATATTAACTATCAGATTTATTGAATTCTCCATGTGGTCTATATTAAAAAGGGCACTTCATTTAATATAACAGGCTTTTAAATTGCAATATTGGTGCACAAGTACTACTTAAAATATCGAAGGGACACAAAAGGCACTTTTTTCTTGGAACGAACCATCTGGCATTTAAAATACTTTTTCGGTGTATTTGATTATTTTCAAATACACAGCCCAAAACAAGTACTTTTATTTGAGTATTTGTATGGTTAGTTGTAAAAACCAAATAGTCTGCCAAATTGTATTTGACAGTATTTTCAAATACTTGTTTCAAATACTATTTTCCAATACCTGGGTTAAATGCATGGAAGTGTATTTGAGTCAGAGTATTTTGAACCCAGATCTGACGATAATACAGACACATAGGAGTATGCCAAGTGGGCGACACCAGAAAGTGCTTAGCATGCTAGTGGCACAGTAACACACACGGAAACTAGCAGCTACTCTGAAGTCAGCAGCACATAACAAGACAGCAAAACTACTAGCACAGGCACATCTATCTACACCACACGACTAGTACGAGGCAGAAACCAAACGAAAGAAGGAAAATGATCAACCTCAGCCACATCCATCTCATCATCAAAGGCAATGTGCTGGAAGAGAAGAGTACACAGGCAGAGTTAGTAGAGCTGGGTTAGGAGGAGGGGAGGTAGCTGAAACCAGACAAACAGTTGGTAAGAAACACAGACCATGTCAGTCAGTCAGTTAGTAAAAACACACAGGTTACTGCATTTCAAAGCAATGGATTGGTCTGTAACAACAGAACAGAAAGCAGAGAGAACCAAGGCCATTAATCAGAGATTAGCACAGACAGTCATTGACAGCTCATACAGTAAATGCTGTATTAGTGTTAATGGTGTATTAGTGTTTAAGTTCAATTACAGCATGCTGGTTAATGTATACCGGAACTGTCCCCAACCACCAAACATAGACAAGTCATTTTCAGATGGACATTAATCCGTTGTGGTTTATGTGTGTGTCTGAGTGTGCGATTATGAATAGCACTGAGGATACCATATACACACACCCTTGGCATCTTATTCCTGCAGAAGGGCAGCTGCTACTGTAGGTTTTAAACCAAACCAAAAGACTCATCCCATCCATCACAGACATAATGTACTACCAGTATCATCTGAGGGGAAGGCAAAGGGCAGCATAGGAAAACAACCTCCAGCTCCATCTTTGCTCTTAACCTCGGACATCTGCACTGACCTCTGTAAAGAGCTACAGAATACCAGGCCTCCCAGCAGCACTCGGTTTCCCCTCATGATAAAACCAAGTGTAGAGAGAACCAGGGGAGTATTGTGAGAAGGTGGTGAAGAGGGCCACATTACCTTCTCCCCATAGCCACGGTCTTTGGTCATCATCTCCCTCAGAGTCTGAAGCACCTTGATACACAGCCGCTCCTCATTCTCCTCCAGTAGCTGCTTGGTGTGTTTAATCAGCCTGGGCAGAGGACAGGGACAGGAGGAGAGGTGGATCACACATACTGCACTGTACAGAACTGTACACCCCCCAAAAAACACTTCAGTGGTAACAAACCCTGATTTCAGAGAGCCTCCCCTACAGTATTTACTGTTAAGCTTGTGTAGTTAAGAGATCATATTATGTCTGCTTGACATATCCTAATTGATTGGCTTAATTCATTATTGGGTATAAATGTTTTGGGTAGAGATTGACCTCACATGAGTCTTAGAGGTGCTGTCAATCAGCTCAGATCAGGTGCTGTGTTTTACTTGTATTCATTGATAGGAGCGTTTCAGTCCAAATGATCAATCATGTGTATGACTCAAGTGCTGAACGCTTCAATGAAAACCATTAGACCCAATCTCTTCCCAGCATACAGGCTTTCCATAAAGGTCCCATTGTATTCTACATATTGCAGTTAGTACTGTACTGTATTGTATTACCTTTGAACTGTAAGTCATTGTGCTGAATCAGTGTGAACTTGTGGTGTCTCACGTGCTACTCCACACATGAATCCCCCCTGCCTGCGGTCCTTTACAGTAGGCTAATCCCTGACCCGTCACCTGTTCAAAGAGCCCAGACGCCCGCCCTCATGCCCTGTAATCCAATGTCAGCCCTTATCAAACACAACAGACACAGGAGTGGCCTGGCCTGTGTAAAACAGGGAGGGAGGGAGCCCTGTGTGAGGGAGCCAGAGCTCCATTAGGCTCAGGGTAGGACATGTGAAAACAAAGCCCTGGGTCACTACAGTAGCATGTTTAGAGCAGCACGCCCTGCTCAATGACGGATTCTGTTACTGTACACTTGTAGGGGATAAGTGTCCCAACTCTAGTTACAGTACAGCAGGTATAGTATGAAAGAGCTGCATCAAGTTAACGCAATGCATTCCTCAACACTGAGACAGTATCAGGAGTCTGTGCAGCATTCCTAGTTAAACCACAGCTAGATCATTTTCTAGTGGCTAAAACCTCATTTGGTTTACAACTGCTGTGGAAAGAAATTGCTCCATTTCTAAGAAGATTGCAGACTGTGGTTCATCACTGGACATGGCAAGAGTCACTTCCATTGTTAGTCAACGTGTCAAGGGGGTGGGTGGGTACTGGAGTCTTACTTGGAAATGAAGCCACCGCTCTCACACTTCCTGCGGGCGTCTGTGTTCTCAGGAAAGAGTAGCTCTGGGCGATGCAGCACGTCCACCAGGACAGACAGCTCAGCCTGGACCAAAGGACGCAGACGGTCCTCTAGAGCCGACACTATGTCCTAAAATATAGAGCAATGCAGAGGACAGGCATGGTTAGAGAGGTAACAGAACAGAGATATGTCACAGACAGGGCACAGGCACACTCAGAGCATTGGCACACTGAGTGTTACACTAGGGGTAGGTCTAGATTAAGTCCAACTGAACTGTATGAGATTGGGGCCTGGATGCCAGCCCCTACAGTTGAAGTCACGCCCAAACAGGGCACAGGGAAGCTGACAAAACTGAAAAACAGTATGGTGAACTTTGTGACCTTATTGTCTCAGACTGCTCACTGGGAAAATGTATAAAAGCAGAAGTAGACCATGGTTTACCAAAAACCTCCAAAACAGACCAGTCCAATCCAACTCCCCTCACCCCCGCTCAATATCCCCATGAGTCAGAGTCATGATAAATTCAATGGAAATATGCAAACTGCTACGGTTGCGTCATACTGTGTGTTGATGTAGACATTGTCTTGTGTAGGAGGGAAGGAGGGAGGGATTCTGGTAGAGTTACTGTATACAGTGTGGTGGGTGCAAAGAAATTGCAACACACACTACGTTAGCTTTCTTTAATAATATAATAATATGCCATTTAGCAGATGCTTTTATCCAAAGCGACTTACAGTCATGTGTGCATACATTTTTACATATGGGTGGTCCCGGGGATCGAACCCACTACCCTGGCGTTACAAGCACCATGCTCTACCAATTGAGCTACAGAGGACCACAGGTTCTTGGAGGATTACAGGTCATTCCTTACTAATACAGTTCCATTAATTATGTTTCTGGGAACTGGTCAATTCATCACAGCTATTTTCAATTCTTGCCATAATTATTCAAGCCGATTTAAGTCAAAACTGTAACTAAGCCACTCAGGAACATTCAATGTCATCTTGGTAAGCAACTCTAGTGAATATTTGGCCTTGTGTTTTAGGTTATTGTCCTGGTGAAAGGTGAATTTGTCTCCCAGGTTTTCCTCTAGGATTTTGCCTGTGCTTAGCTCTATTCCGTTTATTTTCATCCTAGAAAAAAGTCCCTAGCCCTTGCCGATGACAATCATACCCATAACATGATGCAGCCACCACAATTCTTGAAAATATGAAGTGCGGTACTCAGTGATGTGTTGTGTTGGATTTGCCCCAAACATAATGTTTTGTATTCAGGACATAAAGTTAATTGCTTTGCCACATTTTTTGAAGTTTTACTTTAGTGCCTTATTACAAACAGGATACATGTTTTGGAATATGTTTATTCTATACAGGCTTCCTTCTTTTCACTCTGTCATTTAGGTCAGTATTGTGGAGTAACTACAATGTTGTTGATCCATCCTCAGTTTTCTCCTATCACATCCATTAAACTCTGACACTGTTTTAAAGTCAACATTGGCCTCATGGTGAAATCCCTGAGCAGTTTCCTTCCTCTCCAGCAACTGAGTTAGGAAGGACGCCTGTATCTTTGTAGTGACTGGGTGTATTGATACACCTTCCAAAGTGTAATTAATAACTTCACCATGCTCAAAGGGATATTCAATGTCTGAAGGTGCCCTTCTTTGCGAGGCATTGGAAAACCTCGCTGGTTTTTGTGGTTAAATCTGTGTTTGAAATTCACTGCTCGACTGAGGGACCTTAAAGATAATTGTGTGTGTGGGGTACAGAGAGGAGAAAGTCATAAAAAAATTATTGTTAAACACTATTATTACACACAGAGTGACTCCATGCAACATATTATGTGACTTGTTAAGCAAATTTCTGCTCCTGAACCTATTTAGGCTTGCCATAACAAAGGGGTTGAATACATACAGTGAGGAAATTAAGTATTTGATCCCCTGCTGATTTTGTACGTTTGCCCACTGACAAAGACATGATCAGTCTATAATTTTAATGGTAGGTTTATTTGAACAATGAGAGACAGAATAACAACAAAAAAATCCAGAAAAAACGCATGTCAAAAATGTTATAAATTGATTTGCATTTTAATGAAGGAAATAAGTATTTGACCCCTCTGCAAAACATGACTTAGTACTTGGTGGCAAAACCCTTGTTGGCAATCACAGAGGTCAGACGTTTCTTGTAGTTGGCCACCAGGTTTGCACACATCTCAGGAGGGATTTTGTCCCACTCCTCTTTGCAGATCTTCTCCAAGTCATTAAGGTTTCGAGGCTGACGTTTGGCAACGCGAACCTTCAGCTCCCTCCACAGATTTTCTATGGGATTAAGGTCTGGAGACTGGCTAGGCCACTCCATGACCTTCATGTGCTTCTTCTTTAGCCACTCCTTTGTTGCCTTGGCCATGTGTTTTGGGTCATTGTCATGCTGGAATACCCATCCACGACCCATTTTCAATGCTCTGGCTGAGGGAAGGAGGTTTTCAACTAAGATTTGACGGTACATGGCCCCGTCCATCGTCCCTTTGATGCGGTGAAGTTGTCCTGTCCCCTTAGCAGAAAAACACCCCCAAAGCATAATGTTTCCACCTCCATGTTTGACGGTGGGGATGGTGTTCTTGGGGTCATAGGCAGCATTCCTCCTCCTCCAAACACGATGAGTGGAGTTGATGCCAAAGAGCTCGATTTTGGTCTCATCTGACCACAACAGTTTCACCAAGTTCTCCTATGAATCATTCAGATATTCATTGGCAAACTTCGGACGGGCCTGTATATGTGGTTTCTTGAGCAGGGGGACCTTGCTGGCGCTGCAGGATTTCAGTCCTTCACGGCGTAGTGTGTTACCAATTGTTTTCTTGGTGACTATGGTCCCAGTTCTGGGCTGATTCCTCACCGTTCTCATGATCATTGCAACTCCACAAGGTGAGATCTTGCATGGAGCCCCAGGCCGAGGGAGATTGACAGTTATTTTGTGTTTCTTCCATTTGCGAATAATCACACCAACTGTTGTCACCTTCTCACCAAGCTGCTTGACGATGGTCTTGTAGCCCATTCCAGCCTTGTGTAGGTCTACAATCTTGGCCCTGACATCCTTGGAGAGCTCTTTGGTCTTGGCCATGGTGGAGAGTTTGGAATCTGATTGATTGCTTCTGTGGACAGGTGTCTTTTATACAGGTAACAAACTGAGATTAGGAGCACTCCCTTTAAGATTGTGCTCCTAATCTCAGCTCGTTACCTGTATAAAAGACACCTGGGAGACAGAAATCTTTCTGATTGAGACGGGGTCAAATACTTATTTCCCTCATTAAAATGCATATCAATTTATAACATTTTTTAAATGCGTTTTTTTTTTTGTTGTTATTCTGTCTCTCACTGTTCAAATAAACCTACCATAAAAATTATAGACTGATCATTTCTTTCTCAGTGGGCAAATGTCCAAAATCAGCAGGGGATCAAATACTTTTTTCTCTGACTGTATTGACTCAAGACATTTCAGCTTTTCATTTTTTATTAATTTGTAAAATGTTCTAAAAACATAATTCCACTTTGACATTATGGGGTATTGTGTGTAGGCCAGTGACAAAAATATAAATTTAATCAATTTTAAATTGAGGCTGTAACACAACAAAATATGGAAAAAGTCAAGGGGTGTGAATACTTTCTGAAGGCACTGTATTCCTGAATCCTCACCTGCAGCCTTTCTATAATGTTTCTGTAGCTAACGGACACGGTGGTGTTGGAGTCCCTCCTGGGGGCGTTCTTGGCGGAGAGTCTCCAGCTCAGGATGGACTTGGTGACCACGTTGTTGGACTTGACAAACAGGTTGTTCACCTGGCTGTCCAGGTCCACTGGGATCGCGATGGCTCTGCTCTTGGCTGTGTGAAATGAAATAGTAGGAAACAAACCTAAGAGGGATGCTTGTTTCCAATAGTTTAAAAACTTTTTGAAAGATGTTTATTTTTTTCTTGTAGATGACAGATAAAATGAGCTCTTTGGCTTGTGACTACAAAGAAGATGTATTTCTCTGACTTTATCAAGACAGTGTTTATTATTTTATTTTGTATTTATTTATTTTTTAGGGGTAGATGAGCTTTAATATTGCAGATAGATTGAAACTTCCATCAGTGTAATTGTCTGCATCACTTCCAATCCCCCATATGTTATTATTATTATTTTTCTCGCATATATATATATATATATATACATACACATATATATACACATACATACATACATACATACATATCCTTTAAAAAATATATATATATATATATATTTACCTTTATTACTTTCCAACCCCACCATCCCCTCCCTAATTGGAATAAACTAGAGAACAACAATGCTTAGGCCTCTACTTCATGCTTATACTAACTATATACATTTTATGGACACAGTCAATAATTATATTTTGTTTGTTTTTACTCCTGAACTTCCTCCGATCATTTTCATGATGTCCATCTGGTATGCTTCTATATGCCATATCTTTCTAACTGTGCTCTTTCACAAAAGCTCACAATATATAACCTATATCCTTATTATGGACACAGCATGTCTTACACTAGTTATCTTGTTGTTATTAGTTGTTGTTATTAGTCCCATCCTTCGGCTCCATTCAACACCTCCCATCTATCTCTTAACACCATCCATATTGGATTTCTATTTGCCACATATTTTTCAACTGTACTGTGATGTTTTACAAAAGTTCTGAACCTTTCTATCATCATTGTTTCTACAGTTTGTGAATTGAAAATAAACATATTTGCTAAAAGTATTATTATATTATTGATCGATTGACTATGACTTTTCAGGTCACCCAGTAGTGCTATCTGCAGGGTCAGCTCCATGCAAATATTGCAAACAAGACAGTGTTTGGGCAACAGGTTGAGGCCAATTGCAGGTATCTTACCCACGTCAGACAGCACCTTGATACAGGCCTCAACGGAGGCCTTCTGAGTGGGGTTGAGCCAGTTACAATGGTATACCCTGAACACCCCCTGCAGGAGCTGTACAAACACCGGCTGACGAGTCTAAGAGAAAGCGAGAGAGAGAGAGAGAGAGAGAGAGAGACAGGCAGACAGGAAGTAAAGACAGTAGATATGAGAGGAGAAAAGACGTCAAAAGACAAGTCAGAGGCTGCACATTAACCAAAGCTAAAATCCCCAGCAGTGATCAACAAAGGCTTTTGTGGTTTATCACAGACCATATTCCTAGAACCCAGTTTCCCCAACAGACACAAACTGAGTCATGTTCAGCATGAAGAAACCAGAGAAAACCTTTGAAACCGAGAAAGTATTATCTGAACGTTTATTTACGTTTCAAAGCGTTTTCTCCTGTTTGCCCGTACAATCCTCGAACCTTTAACTGTATGTACTGTAAAGGTGCTGTAACATACACCTACAGTACGTAAGAGGGTCTAACACTTCTAGTACGCCTGTTGGTTATCACCAGAATCAGCTCACGTCCCAACCAGGCCTACTAGACCAGTGTCTAATACATACAGTATCACAGCTACCACCAGGACCAAACAACACCCTGTGAACCAGCTGCACACAAAACTACAGCACAACATACTGTATACCTCAGTTATCTTTCCCAAAATGCTTGCCTGTCATGGGAGAGAAGGGAATGAATATCATTAGGCGGTTCACATCAATTGGTGTATTGAGTCTAATGGGATGTGGGATTGTGGAGGAAGGGGTTGGAAAGGATGTGGAAATGACTACAAGAGAAACTAAACCTAATAAAGTCTAAACAACAAACCCAGTTCCTTACAGGAATTGGTATTACTAGACAACTCCAGGAGTGATTGCAAAACCCAGAAAAACAAGTCTTCCAAGAAAAGTGGACAAGTCTTCCAAGAAAAGCAGTGGGGCACTCCTCCACACGTCATACATCCCAACCATTTATAGTAGGCTACAGAGTGATTGCCATCCGTTACGTGACGTTTGCAACCACATCCCAGCAACCACATCCCAGGTATCTTGCGAAAAGAAGCCTAAAGATCTAGGAAGGAACTGAGGAGAGGATTCTAAAGCATTTGAGCACACCAGCATTTGTGAATAATTCTTGGAAGGTGCTGACTCAGTTCTGTGAAGACCAGTCAGTGAGGAAATGTCTGGCTACTCTATGACTCCTGGTAAGGAACACACCCAGGGGATGGGAAACCAACCACAGTGGGATTTTTACCCATACTTACATACAACTGACGTGCCACCTATTTGAAGCAAAATGTTGTATATTACGTTAACTGACAGTGTAGAGCCTTTGGGGATAATGTTTCTTCCACACAGACGAGGAATTAATTAATGCACAATAGAAAACGATAAGTTAACACAGATCACTATCAACAGAAAGTGATTGATGACCATATTTCACCCAACAGCGTAGAATATCCACCATTCAACTGCTTAGATTTAGCCATGTTGTGTATTATGATGGTAATAGTTACCTGCAGACTGGTGCTCTGGTCAGAGAAGGGCGAGCTGAAGAAGGTGGTGACGATGCTCATGACGGTCTCTGTCACATAACCCTCCAGAACCGTGTCTGCATGCTTCCTGTCACTGGTGTTGTTGCACACCTACAGACAGCAGACATGGATAACCAAGGTTAGCCTGACTCATTTACCAGACAGATGTGGATAATGGGTGAGCATTCACTGGATCACACTTCCTGCATCCTCACAGGAAGGAGGATAGAATATCATTAATCCACGCTGTGATCGTACACTGCCTCTCAGCAGAACACTCCCAGGAGAACATACAAGGCTAACTTTGTTTTGAGAGTCTCCCTGTAGAATGCTCAGTAGTCTATCAACAAGGTCTCAGTAACATGTCACCTGCATGTCTGTTGACTAGCCATCAGATATGGAAGAGAGGTGATGCGTGTTTGTTTACCCTGCATATGTCCACCAGGAAGTTCTCAAAGAGCTTCCACATGTGGTTGCTAGTGTAGATCTCCTTCATCTCCACCTCTGTGTCCACATAGCAGTGGTTCAGGAAGTTGATGTAGGCTATCTTCACCTGGAGAAAAAGTTAGGAATTAACAACTTCATAGGTGCCTAAGTACATAACTATCTCAAGAGCCCAGAATGGCCATTTAACTTGCTTCAAGAAGCAAATGTTCAAATGAGTCACATGAATACAACATGTACACCAGGGTCTTTATCAATTCAATAGACTACCACTGTTTGCCTTTAAGCTCTTCGGTCAATCACTCACCTCAGGGATGCAGTCCTCGTGGGTGACCACCCTCACTATGTCGTCCAGAGGCAGCAGAGAGTTACACTTGATCTCAGTGTAGACATTCTTTCCCTCGGTGCAGACAGCCAGTAGCTCTACCAGGTGGATGTGGTACCTCAGAGCGCTGTTCTCATCCATACGGTCCCGCTCCGACCGCATCATCGTGACCAGGGTCTGGAAGGACGCACGGTCATTGTAGAACACCAGCACATCCTCGCCCGAGTTCACCAGCTGAGCAGGAGGAAGACAGACACACTTATCAGATGCTGCTGACACATGATATAGATATTGCGTGTTTATATTAAGGAAATGCATAGTTTCATTTGCATTAGAATCATGTGTGCCCTGTAATTATTATGGTATCCCACCTCAGCCATGACGGTGTCCTGACACTTCTTGATGAACTTGTTCTCGGCTTTGACGATGGTTTGAAGGAATTTGAGATACTGGACATGGCGGCCGTGCGTCTCGGTGCAGTGGATAAAGTGCTGCACCACGCGCTCGTTGATCTCACTGCACAGCTGGAAGTTATTCATGAAAATGTGTTGCATGGTGACTGCCTCCAGAATCTGAAGAGAACGAGAAATAGAAGCATCAAACTAGTGGACTTATTGGTATGGGTAGGATGGAGTACCACTGGTCCCTCCCAGCCCTAACCCTTTCCCCAGGAAGGTCCACTCACCCCTGGGTTGAGGAATAGGTTGATGTGCTTGTGCAGCAGGATCTGGTTCTGCTGATTCCCTGCACAGAAGTTCTGGAGGAACTCATGAGCCAGCTTCATGATCTCCTGCATGCGGACGTCCTCGCCCTGGAGTGTTCATCACAAGTACAGGCAGCCACACAACCCAAGAGCTGCAGTTTTCATTCAAACCTTCCACAAATGAAATTGTTGACCAAGCCTATGTACAACTATATAGCATAAATGCTCTAGTGTTTGCTTCATGCCTTTTTGGTCAGTCTATAAAGGGATATGTTGAGAGTATAGGTCTAACCCATCATATTCTCCAGTACCTTCTCATAGGGGATCTGCAGTAGCTCCAGCACCACACTGTGGGCCCCCATGTTCCTCAGTAGTCTCTGCTGCTGCTTCTTACTCTTCTTCCCTGATGCGCCCTCCTGGACACACAGCTTACTGAGCCGCAGCAGGATCTGAACACACAGGGGAAGAGAGAAGGGGCTCAGAGACTGTCTGCCTTATACATATCTAATGACTGACAGCATCTTAAAAAAGAGTGAAGGCAATGACTCCTTACACCGCCAACTCAAAGATTAGAGAAAATGAAGAAGAAGATGGTACCTCCTTCATAACCCTGTAGTTGTAACTGCTGTTGCTTTCCTCCTTCTTTTTGTCTGAGCTGCCTGAATCCCCCTGCACATGGACAGAGTTCGAATGAGAGCTTGTTCATATTCATATGAAGCATTCAAAAAAAGCCTTCAGATGTACTATAACCGTTGGGAAGTTTTGAAGCAATACCTTCTTTTTATGGTCGGACTCTGAGGGTCCGTCCCCTCCGTCATCGTCCCCCTGCCTCTTGTACACCCACAGCTCCGACTTCTCCACGATGGAGCGCAGCTGGTCCAAGTCTGACTTGATCTGCTTGTAGTTATCCACATCTTGGCTGGTCACCAAGAGCTGGACCTAAGGGAAGAGGAAGGGATATACCTCAGTTTAGACTTAAGTTTAATCTTCACAGCAAGCTAGGACTTTAATTGCCTTGTAATCAAATGACTTTAATGCTCATTCATTTAATGACTTTCTAACTGAAGATACGATTCTTGAGTGTGAGGAGAAATGATACAGTGGACCTGTGTGTTCTTGTGGCTGTGGGACCTGTGGGTTTGGTTGGAGGCCTACCTGTTTGAAGGCCATGAGGACTTCCTGTCTCTGGCTGAAGTGTCTGAAGAGCAGGTGGAGGGCCCCTGACACCAGGGGAGGGTAGTCATGCATCGTGAGGTGCAGTAGCACCCTCAGGAAGGTCCTCCCTCCATGGTCATCCAGGTCCAGAGGGGTGATCTTCTCACTGCAGAACAACACACCAGGCTCAGACACTGGGGACTGAGTATTCCAGTATTAAACAGTCATTTTATGGAGACTGACACTGCATTGTTTTAAAATGAGAGGTTTACCTTCCTCCAAAGATTGCCTCTGCCTGCTCTTCTATGTTCTCAAAATCTAGAGCACCTAACAAAACAAATGAAGCATTTACATTCTTGTGAAGCCCGTTTGAAGGCTATACTTCAGAAACCTTCGACACCACAAACGAACTTGATAAATATCAGATTTTTTTTTTTTAATACAAATACTAAGGGTATAAGGACATGTGGCATCTGTTATGTCTGTAGTGTCTGTTATTTCTGTAGTGTCTGTAGCTTGAGGGTAAAAGCAGTAAGACAAAAAGGCAAGGCTTCGGTTTTCAGTATGCTGACCTGTCATATTATTTCCATCCTGACTAGCACTAGATGGTGTATTATCACCCTGAGGGTTACTCTCATCAAACTCCCGCTTGAAGATACAGAGCAGGCAGGAGATCCTGTAGTCCAGCCGCACATTCAGAATGAACTAGTGGGCAGGAACAGAGCACATCAGTTAGTTAAAACAACAGGCTTTAGAGCTCACCACTAAGAATAATCATACTGAGAAAAATATGTCCTCATTCTAGATTTTGTATACATTTGTATTTGATACTATGGGAAATCAAAGCCAAGATATTTGGATACAACAACGGACAATCTATATGAAAGGCCAGATGACAGGGGCAGGAGTTACCTGGAGGATCTCGATGATCTTGAGCTTGGTGTCCATCACCATGATGTCCTCCCTCTCCGGCTCTGTCTGGGTCTTGACCACACCCTCCTCCGGCTGGTGGGTGGGGGTGACTGGGAGGAAGCCCCCCCCTCGGAGGACCACCTGGGTCATCAGCTCCCCCACCCCGTGGATAGACTTCATCACATTACTGCCTGTGGACACGCCCACACAAACACACAAAAATACACACACACCTCAGAGTTGAACTGGGGTGCTTACTCACACACAACACATTAACCAAACCTAATGAACTCCAACATGATTCCTCATATAAGGGAAGGGTATTGAGAGCGAGAGAGCGCACCTCAATTACAGTACATCAGTAACAGCCAATACCAATTGACAGACAGGAAGAAGTCGGGTGTTCACCTTGTTTTTCCTCTCCCTTCTCCAGCTTGGTAATGGGGTAAATGGTGCTGACATGAACACAGTCCAATATGTTCAATAAGATCTTAGTCAGTCGCAGCAGGTCACTGAAGTTGTAGAAGCCAAAGTAAATGAGGTTCCTTGCCAGGTTCACTACCTTTTAATAGAGAAAAGTGAAAACAGAGGTGAGATAATTCTCCATATTATACATTTTCTCTGTTTGACACTTTGTTATGTTTCCAGGGAAACCTACCTCGAAGGTGAGCTTGTTTTTCTCTCTGTCGTCAAAGGGGATGTTCTGAGACACCACAGACATCAGGTAGTTCTCCACAAACTCCATGGTCAGGCAGAACCTCTCTTTGATCTCATCTCTGGTGGTCCCATCATTGTCGTAGCTTAGAAAGTGAGAGAACATTCTTGTGAAAAGGCTCAGGTAACGCAGAATATCTCTGATAGGACTCTAATAACACGTAAACCCCACTCACTCGTCGATGGCGATCTGGGAGGGGATCTCGGACCAGAGGCGGGCGTACTTGACTGGCGTGACCTGTTCCTGGGGGTCGCGGTCCACATGCATGTGCAGCATCATGCGGCAGAAGGATGCCCTGAGGTCGTAGGGCAAGTCCTCGTCAGACATGCAACGCAGGATCAGGTCCACGTCCAGCTGGCCAGAGATCTTATTGATGGCCAGGTACTGACGGTCCAGACACATCCGCGCAAACAGATTCAGCTGGTACCTGCAGAGGGGAGAGGAGCATACTTTAACATCTGGACAGGGTTTTAGTCTGAAAGCAGGCTACGTACATAGACAATCAAACTGTCCCATATGCTTTTACATACTGTATATCCAAACATTTCATAGCACCCACTATCCAACTTTAACTCATTCTGAAGCCTTTAAGGCACTTATCCCTGACCTGTAGTAGCTGACCACCTCCTGGTCCTCCTTCTGGCCCTCCTTGGCATCCTGGGCCAGCTCTCTGACACTCTTGCTCCTGATCTCCTTGCAGTTGTCCCTCCAGAAGAGCCACACCTCCTCCTCGTCCTCCTCCGTCTCTATGGGAGTCTCCCCCATTGTTACAGCCTCAATCTCAAAGCGTGACAGCACTAGCCTGGTCGGCGGCAAATAAAACAGACAGTCAACATAGTGCAAAGTAACTGCAGAAAATAATGAATAATGAAACACACATCAGTCTTTGTTTTCATAATCAACAGCATTTCTAATAACACTATTTGAGCCAATCTAATTGGAAAGCATCAGTATTATGTTCAAACACATGCACACACCCACGCTCATGTTTTTAGTGCTAGGGTTAAAACAAGTGATGATCATCACATTGGGGGGAGGGAGGGGGGGGGGTTACTTAGTCTCGATGAGGATGTCGGCGTTGGAAGGGTCCAGCACGGCATTACAGATGAGCTCCTGAGTCACTGGGATGGACTTGTTCATGGACACGCACAGGTCAGACAGGTAGTCCAGAAACCTGGAGATAAGGGTCAAATAGAAGGGGATGGTCAACATACAGGCCCAGCTGCCAGGGAGGAGGCCTACACCACTGCACTGGATTAACACAGAGGCTGGCACTAAACTGAAGAAAAGGGCTTCCGCACACAGAGCTATCGTAGACAACCCTGATGCTACGGCCGAAGACAGGAATAAGTAGTCCCACTATGACCTCCACAGAGTCATCAAATGAGCAAAAGGACAATATAGGAATAAGGTCGAATCTTAATACAAAGGCGCCGCCGCCCGCTGCATGTGGCAGGGGCTACAGTCCATTACGGATTACAAAGGAAGATCCAACCGGGATCTGCCCAACAATGCCTCTCTACCAGATAAACTCAATGCATTTAATGCACCTTTGACAACAACAACATTGAGCCGGGTGTGAGGGCCGTCACAGACCCAGAGGATTGGGTGATCTCGCTCTCTGAGGCCGACGTGAGAAGGGTCTTTAATCAGGTCAACACCTGCAAGGCAGCGGGCCCCGATGGTATTCCAGGGCACGTACTCAGCAACTCTAAGGCTTCATGTCACAATGACAAACGCCCTGTAGCACTCACTTCTGTAATCATGAAGTGCTTAGAGAGGCTGGTTATGGTATACATTAACTCCACCATCCCAGCCACCCTAGACCCACTCCAATTTGCATACCACCCCAACAGATCCATAGACGACACAATCTCAATTTCTCCACACTGCCCTCATCCACCTAGATAAGAGGAAAACCTATGTGAGAATGTTGTTCATTGACTACAGCTCAGTGTTCAACACCATTGTCCCCTCCAAGCTCGTCATCAAGCTTAGGACTCTGGGTCTGAACACCTCCCTCTGCAACTGGAGCCTGGACTTCCTGATGGGCCGACCCCAGGTGGTGAGGGTAGGCAACATCTCCTCCGCCACGCTGACCCTTAACACAGTGGCCCCACAGGGTGTGTGTTTAGTCCCCTCCTGTACTCCCTTGTTCGCCCACGACTGTGTGCCCACGAACAACTCCAACATCATTATCAAGTTCGCTCATGAAACAACGGTGCTAGGCCTGATCACTGGCGACGATGAGTCAGCCTACAGGGAGGAGGTCAGTGACCTGGCAGTGTGGTGCCGGAGCAACAACCTCTCCCTCAACGTCAGCAAGACCAAGGAGCTTATCGTGGACTACAGGAAATGGGTGGGCGGAAAAGGTAGACAGCTTCAAGTTCCTCGGTATCCAAATCACTAAACACTTAATATGGTCCAAACACACATGCACTGTCGTGAAGAAAGCGTGACAGTGACTCTTTTCCCCCAGGAGGTTGAAAAAGTTTGGCATGGGCCCTCAAATCCTCAAAACGTTCTACAGCTGTACCATTGTGAGCATATTGACTGGCTGCATCACAGCTTGGTATGGCAATAGCATTGCCCTCGATCGCATGGCGCTACAGAGAGTTGTGCGGACAGCCCAGTACATCACTGGGCCGAGCTCCCTGCCATCCAGTGACCTCTATATCAGGCGGTGTGAAAAGAAGGCCCTGAAAATCATCAAAGACTCCAACCACCCAAGCCATAGACTATTTTCTCTGCTGCCGCAAAGGCAAGAGGTACCGGTGCATCAAGCCTGACACCAACAGGCTCTTGAACAGCTTCTATCCCCAAGAAACACGACTGATAAATAGCTAACAAAATAGCTACACAGACTATATGAGTTGACCTTTTATCTTTATTTACCTTTTATTTCAATCTTTGCACTTTCTCTATGCACACTAACAGGGCTCTACACACACTGTCCTCCAACACACACACAAACACTCACTCCATAATTTTCTCACTCACACATAATATGCACATACATTTATACTGACTCTACACACCCGCACACCCACTCACATACAAGCTGCTGCTACTCTGTTTATGTTATATCCTGCTGCCTAGTCCCCTTACCCCTATACATATCTACCTCCATCACTCCAGTATCCCTGCACATGTAAATATGGTTTTGGAACTGACTTTTAAATATTTCCTGTATATAGTATGCTTACTTACTTATTTCATTGTGTATTTCATATTTCTTATTCTATTTTTTTTTCTAGTAATACATTGTTCTTGATTATTGCATTGTTGGGTTTAGAAAGGCATTTCACTGTACTTGTGCATGTGACATTGAAACTTGAAACTACAGGGCCTACAACAGTGCACTAGCCAGTAGCCACACTACAGGCTCCCAGAGTAGGCTTATTCAGGCTCAGTGACCTGCTACAGCCCTGTGCTGCTGGAAACAGAAGGCTCCAGTCCCAGTCCCCCTCCCAGCTCCATCAGACCCCAGTAAAAGCCCCCTTTATCCAGACCCTTGGATCAGCATGGTTCTCATATCACCAGCAGCACAAGACTGGAGCTTGACAGCACTAATGACAGCAATTACCTCCAGTGCCAGGGTCCAACACAATCCCATCCTCTGATACCCTCATGCATACATTTGAATACATCTACATCTACTACATTCCCTGGCTGGTGCTGTACAAACAAACCTCCATCCACAGACGACCTTCTGAATCAGGCCCATGGCATGCCCCCATCCTATCGCCCCGTTCTCTTGGTCTCACCTGGGTTCCCGGTTCTTCCTGACAAGGGTGACAAAGGTGTCGATCTCTGCGGCCGTGATGTGTTTTTCCAGAAGCTTGCGGTTGTTGTGGAGCAGGGCCGTTATCGTGTCCTCAGCCAGAACGTCGTAGCCTATCTGCTTCTGCATGAAGCGGAACTGCTTGGCTATGTACTCCTGTAGAGGAGGAGTTAGTGAGGGTCAGGAACATTCTAATATACAACTAACAGGTTAAGTACATTTAGCCTTTTAGCTACCACATTTCTGCATCTGTGTGTCTGAGTTGATCGATGCAATCAATCAGTTCTGCCCACCAACCTGGTTCTTCCTGTAGTCTTGTTGGGAGTGCCGTAATACCCGGTAGCAGAGCCTGCAGATGTGCCTGAAGGGGGCGTGGCGCTGGTCACCAAGCTCTTCCAATCGCAGCATGGGACCATCCCCACTGTCTGTGAACGGGGCTTGGAGAAGTTTGAAAATCTAAAGAGGGATATGGATTTCATATATAATTTAAATTGTGACACTCAAATTGACAATGTGGAGAGGTCAACTTAACATTGACCCTCATAAGTACCCCAGGCCCAAAGTATATGATACTACTGCTGAGTACTACCACATATCTACAGTACAAAATCCATGTGTACGTATGTGTATAGTGCGTATATGCATGTTTCTGCGCCTATGTTTGTGTTTCTTCACAGTCCCCGCTGTTCCATAAGGTGTTTTTTTAATCAGTTTTTTTAATCTAATTTTACTACTTGCATCAGTTACTTGATTTGGAATAGAGTTCCATGTAGTCATGGCTCTATGTAGTACTGTGCGCCTCCCATAGTCTGTTCTTGACTTGGGGACTGTGAAGAGACCTCTGGTGGCATGTCTTGTGGGGTATGCATGGGTGACCGAGCTGTGCACCATTAGTTCAAACAGATAGCTCGGTGCATTCAACATGTCAATACCTCTCATAAATACAAGTAGTGATTAAGTCAATATCTCCTCCACTTTGAGCCAGGAGAGATTGACATGCATATTATTAATATTATCTCTCTGTGTACATCCAAGGGCCAGCCGTGCTGCCCTGGTCTGAGTCCTTTTTTGTGGCATCTGACCACACGACTATACAGTAGTCCAGGTGTGACAAAACTAGAGCATGTAGGACCTGCCTTGTTGATAGTGCTGTTAAAAAGGTAGAGCAGCGCTTTATTATGGACATACTTCTCCCCATCTTAACTACTGTTGTATCAATATGTTTTGACCATGACAGTTTACAATCCAGGGTTACTCCAAGCAGTTTAGTCACCTCAACTTGCTCAATTTCTACATTATTTATTACATGATATAGTTGAGGTATAGGGTTTAGTGAATGATTTGTCCCAAATACAATGCTTTTAGTTTTAGAAATATTTAGGACTAACTTATTCCTTGCCACCCACTCTGAAACTAACTACAACTTTGGTTAAGTGTTGCAGTCATTTCAGTCGCTGTAGTAGCTGACATGTATAGTGTTGAGTCATCCATATACATAGACACTGGCTTTACTCAAAGCCAGCGGCAAGTCATTAGTAAAGATTGAAAATAGTAATGGGCCTAGACAGCTGCCCTGGGGAATTCCTGATTCTACCTGGATTATGTTGGAGAGGCTTCCATTAAAGAACACCCTCTGTGTTCTGTTAGACAGGTAACTCTGTATCCACAATATAGCAGGTGGAGTAAAGCCATAACACATACGTTTTTCCAGTAGCAGACTATGATCGATAATGTAAAAAGCCACACTGAAGTCTAACAAAACAGCCCCCACAATATTTTATCATCAATTTCTCTCAGTCAATCATCAGTAATTTGTGTAAGTGCTGTGCTTGTTGAATGTCCTTCTCTATAAGCATGCTGAAAGTTTGTTGTCAATTTGTTTAATGTAAAATAGCATTGTATCTGGTCAAACACCATTTTTTCCAATAGTTTACTAAGGGTTGGTAACAGGCTGATTGGTCGGCTATTTGAGCCAGTAAAGGGGGCTTTACTATTCTTAGGTAGCGGAATGACTTTTGCTTCCCTCCAGGCCTGAGGGCACACACATTCTAGTAGGCTTAAATTGAAAATATGGCAAATAGGAGTGGCAATATCGTCTGCTATTATTCTCAGTAATTTTCCATCCAAGTTGTCAGACCCCGGTGGCTTGTCATTGTTGATAGACAACAATAATTTGTTCACCTCTTCCACACTCACTTTACGGAATTCAAAATTACAATACTTATCTTTCATAATTTGGTCAGATATACTTGGATGTGTAGTGTCAGCGATTGTTGATGGCATGTCTTTCCTAAGTTTGCTAATCTTGCCGAAAAATAATTAAAGTAGTTGAAAATATCAGTTGGGTTGGTGATGAATGAGCCATCTGATTCAATGAATGATGGAGCTGAGTTTACCTTTTTCCCAAAATGTAATCTAAGGTAATCCAAAGCATTTTAATTTCATTCTTTATGTCATTTATCTTTGTTTAATAGTGTAGTTCCTTCTTCTTTTTATTCAGTTTAGTATCATGATTTCTCAATTTGCAATAAGTTTGCCAATCGGTTGTGCAGCCAGACTTATTTTCCATTCCTTTTGCCTCACACCTCTCAACCATACAATTTTTCAATTCCTCATCAATCCACAGGGATTTAACCGTTTTTACAGTCATTTTCTTAATGGGTGCATGCTTATTAGTAACTGGAATAAGCAATTTCATAAATGTGTCAAGTGCAGTGTCTGTTTGCTCCTCATTACACACCACGGACCAACATATATTCCTTACATCAACAACATAGGAATCACTACAAAACTGACTGTATACACAATATTAGGCCCAGCCTTTGGAATTTGGTTTTCCTAGATATGGCTACTATATTGTGATCACTACATCCAATGGATATGGATACTGCTTTCAAACAAATTTCTGCAGCATTAGTAAAGATATGATCAATACATATTGATGATTTAATTCCTGTATTGTTTGTAACTACCCTGGTAGGTTGACTGATAACCTGAACCAGGTTGCAGGCACTGGTTACAGTTTGAAGCTTTCTCTTTAGTGGGCAGCCTGATGAAAGCCAGTCAATATTTAAATCACCCAGAATGTATACCTCTCTATTGATATCACATACATTATCAAGCATTTCACACATGTTATCCAGATACTGACTGTTAGCACTTGGTGGTCTATAGCAGCTTCCCACCAGAATGGGCTTTAGGTGAGAGAGTATTTAACATGAGATCCTCTCTAATCTTCACAGGAATGTGGTTCTGAATATAAACAGCAACACCTCCACCATTGGCATTTCTATCTTTTCTGTAAATGTTATAACCTTGCTATCACTGTATCATCAAAGGTATTATCTAAGTGAGTTTCAGAGATAGTCAAAATATCAATGTCATCTGTTACTAGCAAATTATTGATTTCATTAACCTTGTTCCTTAAACTACATATGTTAACGTGGGCTATTTCGAGCACTTTTCTTCTGGGATGCTTACTTGTTTTTATTGCTTTACTGGGAAGCTTAGCAGCAGTAGATGTGCTCATGTTCTTTATGTTAGTGCAGGGTGAGCTGCACACAGCGGACTTCCTCCTCGGGCACACTGGCTCAGTGCTAACAATATAAATCTGGTTCTTAGGCACATGATTACTGCATACAATAGCTGAGTACAATGAGCTGTACCTGTTTGAGGATGTTCTGCTCCCTCATGAGTTTCTGTCTCTCTCGGTTGGGCTTGTTGACCATGATCTCCAGTACATCCTGGCCAGTGTTGGGGATGTCACACACAAAGAAGACCAGGTCCTCCAGAAGCTTAGTGACAAACCTGGAGACCAGAGATACAGGGCCAAGGAGGAATGAATGGTTCCACCAGGATCCCAGATAACACCAACTCCTACAGCCAGCCTCTCCAGAGAGAGGAGCCAGCAACAATAGCTAAAAAGAGAAAAACTATGGAATACCTGGTGGACCTTAAATGATGACACTTCTCAACATGAAAAATAATAGTTCTACCAAATGTTAACAGCAATCTTCTTAAATTACTTTCAATCTACCAGATATTTACGACAATGTAATACAGTAGGTCAAAGGTTACTGCCGGCATCTGTTTCAAACACACACTTTACCTCCTCTCATTCTGTGTTATAGTGCCCTTCTCCAGTTTGCCAGCAATGGATGCCAACACTTTACTGGCATCGTTGGCCAAGTCTAAGTCTCTGACTTCCGCTGGGGGGACAGGCACTATGGCAAAGGCCTCTTTGTCTTCTTTAACCGCTGATGTGCCAATCTAAAAGAACGACGTGTAAAACATACTTTCAATAAATAGATTTTACAAGTCCGACCAAAGGTCACACACTAGTATCCTTCCCAACCACTCACCCGTAACATGACAGGCTTCTCCTCCTCCTTGTCAATGGGGTTGTTGGTACTGTGGACCCATGTGTTGGTGCAGAGGTGCCGGAGCCTCACGAAAGAGTTCCTGAGGGAACAGGACAGAGCAACTCAGAGGACTGCACCAATACAGAAAACAACAACAGTCCACTATACTAGTTACCTCTATGAGAATTCTTCTAAGAGGCCTTTTATAATGCTAAATCATGTTTGTGGATTGTAATTCTTCAGATTATTTTTTCCAGTGTCAACCTTACAGTAGCCTAGAAAAGTGAGCTTTATTTAAATATTTATATTGTTTGCAGAAGTATTTGGGATTACTGGGGAATACCAGCTGTGTTTACTCTGTTATGCTCTGTCAACTTGGATGGGCAAATATTGCTGTCCTATTACAGTGGGGGGGAAAATTATTTAGTCAGCCACCAATTGTGCAAGTTCTCCCACTTAAAAAGATGAGAGAGGCCTGTAATTTTCATCATAGGTACACGTCAACTATGACAGACAAAATGAGATTTTTTTTCTTTTGATGGAAAATAAGTATTTGGTCACCTACAAACAAGCAAGATTTCTGGCTCTCACAGACCTGTAACTTCTTCTTTAAGAGGCTCCTCTGTCCTCCACTCGTTACCTGTATTAATGGCACCTGTTTGAACGTGTTATCAGTATAAAAGACACCTGTCCACAACCTCAAACAGTCACACTCCAAACTCCAATATGGCCAAGACCAAAGAGCTGTCAAAGGACACCAGAAACAAAATTGTGGACCTGCACCAGGCTGGGAAGACTGAATCTGCAATAGGTAAGCAGCTTGGTTTGAAGAAATCAACTGTGGGAGCAATTATTAGGAAATGGAAGACATACAAGACCACTGATAATCTCCCTCGATCTGGGGCTATTTTTGTTTCATCAGACCGTCTCCTTCCTGAGCGGTATGACAGCTGCGTGGTCCCATGGTGTTTATACTTGCATACTATTGTTTGTACAGATGAACGTGGTACCTTCAGGCATTTGGAAATTGCTCCCAATGATGAACCAGACTTGTGGAGGTCTACAAATATTTTTCTGAGGTCTTGGCTGATTTCCTTTGATTTTCCCATGATGTCAAGCAAAGAGGCACTTAGTTTGAAGGTAGGCCTTGAAATTCATCCACAGGTACACCTCCAATTGACTCAAATGATGTCAATTAGCCTATCAGAAGCTTCTAAAGCCATGACATCATTTTCTGGAATTTTCCAAGCTGTTTAAAGGCACAGTCAACTTAGTGTATGTAAACTTCTGACCCACTGGAATTGTGATACAGTGAATTATAAGTGAAATAATCTGTCTCTAAACAATTGTTGGAAAATTACTTGTGTCATGCACAAAGTAGATGTCCTAACCGACTTGCCAAAACTATATATTGTTAACAAGACATTTGTGGAGTGGTTGAAAAACAAGTTTTAATGACTCCAACCTAAGTGTATGTAAACTTCCGACTTCAACTGTACAAGCATGCATGGTCACTCTGCATGGTCATAGATGGCTGAGTCAGTACAGTAGTGACCCCCTAGTAGTGACCCCTACAATAACAACAACACTGTCATTGCTCTAACATGAGGAGTTATCCAATACAAAAGAGAGAAGACAGCACTGTGTGCCTCTCCCCCAAACGATGCTCGCTCACTCGCTATGAGCATATATATATATATATATATATGATAATGGTAATGATGTTTAGAGTGGTCTCTCACCGCTAGTGGGTGTGATGACTTGCTGTAACGTCCTCAAACAAGATGTATGAAAATCTAGTTCCAAAATACAAATACTTTTATGTTTTGTGTGCCAAAACAGCAGTGCCAGCTAATCAGCTTCTTTGTTGTTCAACACGATGTGCTGTGGCTACTGCTACCTAGCACGGGGACGAAAAGGGCAGTTTTCTGGAAAAAATAGCAGTATTTCAATCTTCCCGGTGTATCAGTTTGGATAAAGGTAACATTTGGAGTACAGTGGTATATCCCATCCCTGCATTGAGGTAGTTTTTCCGACCCATATTTTGCGCCGGCTCTGCTGTGTCTTAATCTAACCATGATGGCGTTCCGACCCCAGTGCAGGTCTGGGTAAACAAGCGTAACGGTAGGGTCGGAATCTTCTGGCTACTCTGTTCTCTTCCCTGAAGCACATGCAGATTTGAAACCAGGCTAGGTCTGTAGAAGGTTTTGCTCAGAAAGCGACTTCCCGCTATCCTGTGGTAACCTTGTTTGAACCTCCTAACAGTAATAATAAAGTTGGAAAAAGGAACATGATTGCATTTTGCATCCTATTTATCGAATTACGTCGGAATTATATATCGGTAAAATGCCAATAAGGCCTGATTATATTGGTGAAACAATATATTGGTCGGGCTCTATGTGTGTCCACCAGAGTATGTGAGCGGAGTTGAGCAGTCGGAAATCCTGCACATCGCTCATGGAGCGGTGTTTCCAACCGCTCCGCTAAAAACTGCTCTGCGCTCACAGGGGAAAAAATTCTACTTCAAATTCGCTCCTTTCATTGAAATCACAATTTAACCAACACCCATCTATTTTTGTGACTACCTGGACCTACCATTTGGTATTGAAGTATTGAAACCAAACCATATGATTTTAATTAAAAGCTCAAAATTTCAAATATGCTACATGTCATATTAAACAGCATATAAGAAATGAATTATTTCAATTATTTCAAGGCTATAGCCTACAAAGAAATACATTGTGAAGTATTTGCGAGTACGACACACTAGGCTGGTAGGGAGTCAGGCACATTAGGAGCTCAGCATTTAAACAACATTTTGTTGTGTTAAATCATTATAGTCTATAAATTTCACATATAGCCTGTGACTTACTTAGAATTAAATACAAATTAAGCTCAGTCTACAGTGCCTTTGAATTCATTTTTTAGAAACAACAGTTTGGCCAGAGTCTGTGGCTTCAGGCTCATGTGATGGTGCAGGGAGAGCAGGCCAGCAGCGGAGAATATCCTCTCCACACTTGCAGAGCTACTGGGGATGCTAAACACCCTTTTGGCCACTCTTGCCAGGCTGGGCAGGGATGCAGAGCTTTTCTTATATACAGTGCCTTCGGAAAGTACTCAGACCCCTTGACTTTTTACACATGTTGTTCCATTACAAACGTATTCTAAAATTGATGAAATAAAAAAAGATCCTCAGAAATATACACACAATACCCCATAATGACAAAGCAAAAACAGGTTTTTAGTAAATTTTGCAAATGTATTAAAAATAAATAACAGAAATACCTTATTTACATAAGTATTCAGACCCTTTGCTATGAGAATCGAAATTGAGCTCAGCTGCATCCTGTTTCCATTGATCATCCTTGAGATGTTTCTTCAACTTGATTGGAGTCCATCTTTGGTAAATTAAATTGATTGGACATGATTTGGAAAGGCACACACCTGTCTATATAAGATCCCACAGTTGACAGTGCATGTCAGAGCAAAAACCAAGCCATGAGGTCGAAGGAATTGTCTGTAGAGCTCTGAGAGGATTGTGTGCGGCACAGATCTGGGGAACAGTACCAAAAAATGTCTGCAGCATTGAAGGTCCCCAAGAACACAGTGGCCTCCATCATTCTTAAATGGAAGAAGTTTGGAACCACGAAGACTCTTCCTAGAGCTGGCCGCCCGGACAAACTGAGAAATCGGGAGAGAAGGGCCTTGGTCAGGGAGGTGACCAAGAACCCGATGGTCACTTTGACAGAACTTTAGAGTTCCTCTGTGTAGATGGGAGAACCTTCCAAAAGGAAAACCATCTCTGCAGCACTCCACCAATCAGGCTTTTATGGTAGAGTGGCCAGATGGAAGCCACTCCTCAGTAAAAGGCACATGACAGCCCGCTTGGAGTTTGCCAAAAGGCACCTAAAGCACTCTCAGACCATGAGAAACAAGATTCTCTGGTCTGATGAAACCAAGATTCAACTCTTTGGCCTGAATGCCAAGCGCCACATCTGGAGGAAACCTGGCACCATCCCTACGGTGAAGCATGGTGGTGGCAGCATCATGCTGTGGAGATGTTTTTCATCAACAGGGACTGGGAGACTATTCAGGATCGAGGAAAATATGAATGGAGCAAAGTACAGAGAGATCCTTGATGAAAACCTGCTAGAGAGCGCTCAGGACCTCAGACTGGGGCGAAGGATCACCTTCCAACAGGACAGCGACCCTAAGCACACAGCCAAGACAACGCAGGAGTGGCTTCGGGACAAGTCTCTGAATGTCCTTGAGTGGCCCAGCCAGAGCCCGGACTTGAACCCGATCGAACATCTCTGGAGAGACCTGAAAATAGTTGTGCAGCAATGCTCCCCATCCAACCTGACAGAGCTTGAGAGGATCAGCAGAGAAGAATGGGAGAAACTCCCCAAATACAGATGTGCCAAGCTTGTAGCGTCATACCCAAGAAGACTCAATGCTGTAATCGCTGCCAAAGGTGCTTCAACAGAGTACTGAGTAAAGGGTCTGAAAACTTACATAAATGTAATATTTCCGTTTTTAATTTGGAATAAATTAGCAAAAATGTCTAAAAACCTGTTTTTGCTTTGTCATTATGGGGTATTGTGTGTAGATTGATGAGGGAAAAAAACAATTTCATCAATTTCAGAACAAGGCTGTAACATAACAACATGTGGAAAAGGTCAAGGGGTCTGAATACTTTCCAAAGGCACTGTGTGTATATATATATATATATATATATATATATATATATATATATATATATATATATATATAGGCCTAACCCAATGAAAACAGAAAGCTCCTTGAAAGTTGGAATATGCCAGGCCTATTGGGCCAAAATCACTGATGGCCTATTGTATAGATAATAGAACAAAAATGAAAAAAACTTTTAAGAGATGTGATTTTTGGTTGATAAATGACACTTAATTAGCTACCCACCTCGTTCCTTTCTTTTAGCATGTGCACGTAGTAAGTAGGCTACACCATCATGATTTCGGGATATGTGTCTTTTCAGATTCCACAATGATTATTTAGTTGTGGACACTACATCACCGCACTCCCTCCCTTGCTCTTGGTCCTCATCTTTGTAAGTCACCTTGATGTTGCACTTGTGTGTTTTATCAATCTCTTTATGAAAATATTTAGCAAACTTCATGACAGTAGCTTAAGCAAGGGGCTATAGCAGCACACAAGTAGACTGCAAATGCATGCTGGGCCGGTCATGCCCTGAGCTGGTGAAGTGAGCACTACTGGAGCACTATTGGAGTGAAATTGGAGCGGGGGCGAGAAGGCCGACACTCCAGCCTTTGGGAATCTCGCTCCGTGCTCCAGTCAAATTGAGCACTCTCCGCTCCTCGCTCCCTTCAGCTCCGCTCACATACTCTGGTGTCCACCTTCTCTGGCCGTAGGCACAGACAGTACACCAGACACTGGCTGTATTCTTGGCCTGGTTGCGTAATGACCCATTAGACTAACAGGCTTACCTTTGTGTAGACCATCCACCATGCTCACTCTAATGACTCACACCTAAAGCCCAGCCTGCCTGCCCGTATCCTGGAAAACATGGGTTATTTCAGGTAAGGAAGGATGGGAGGAGGAGCCGAGGGCGAGGTTGCAGCCAATAGTAGCCAGAAGGCAGGCACGCACCTGACAACGTTACACAATGCAAGCTTTGACACTATGGGGAGAGGCGCTGGCCTTATCTGATGTGATGCTGGTGGCAGAAACAACCACACTATTGTTATTTTAGCAAACACCCCCATTGCACATGATACAGTCAGTAAAGGTGAAGAGGAAGGAACCCAGCAAAGGTAAATATAGACATATGGTATGTCAGCAATCTACGCCTTGTTGCGCACATGAGAGAGCTAGTCATCTTTACTCACACTAGTGTGTGTGTGTCTCAGTCAATAGAGTTCCAGAATCTATGTCAAGGTGCATTGAAGCTGTTCTGGCTCGTGGTGGCCCAACGTCCTATTAGACACTTTATGTTGGTGTTTCCTTTAATTTAGCAGTATATAACATGAGAAAACATGTGGTTCTAGGCTGGATTTCTTTATAAACACTTTGTGACATCTGCTGATGCAAAAAGGGCTTTATAAATACATTCGATCGAGCACACCTTAATATCACATTGTCTGATGTCCATACATGCAGTAGTATAAGGACAGGACCTGATAATTCCGATGTATTTGGAAGTAGGCGTCTGAAAGAGCAGTTTACTTCATGGGAAATATGATGGTGTGTTTTCTGTGTGGGGGCGGATGGATGGCTATTCAACATCTGGCTTCTGTATTTAGTTAGGGGACGGGAACGTGGCTAGATCAAGACATGTTGCAACTAGCCTGCAGTGCTGCAGTCTGCCCCATCACCATGGTTTCCTGCTTCAAATCATACCGGGACTTTCCTGACTATTATTAGCTAGTAGAAAACAAACTTGACTCCCTCCTACAACACACACACACAGAAAGTGAATGGCCAATGTCCGGTATCACCTCAGCAAGGTCAGAGTTCTGATTGATTTTGTGAACACATAACAGCACATTTCTGTGGTAGATGGTGAGATATCTTAGAAATATGAATCACTTTGAAAACAAAAAATTGCATCATGTGCACCACTGAGCTAAGCTGTCCTGCAAACCTTCTATTCAGATCAAAGAACAAACAATTTGACATTTCTTTTGCTATCCCACAATAGCCCTGAAATGGTCTTCTCTGAACTGTAAAAGCTGCTCTTTGGTTTCTCAGACTAACTAGGCTGCATGATTAGACAACCCTGAGGTCCCTTCTCTGTCTCTATGAAGATGCGAAGAGCAGTTTCATATGTCACGGTGGGTGCCCCATCCAGTCAACAACACGTGACTGTCAGCAGCAGCAGCCTGTAACATGGCCGCTACAGGAGGAAGCAGAGTCCTGCCCACTCCTTCCACTGACCCCAACTAACCCTGGACCACTCCCTAATAACCTGACGGCACAAGACAGGAGACAAAATCGTCCCTGTGGGGGTGATCACGTGGGGATAAAGAGGGCACCAGACAGATTTGCATCAAGCATTGCCTGTGCTATTTAGACCAGGTTGTTTGAACATGTGATTAAAGACAGATCATAGCATGTATAGCATGTGTGGATAGGTGTGATATTTGGCTGTGTACCTGGGCACTAGGGAGTCCCCCCCTCTCAGGGTGGTAGGGTCCAGCTCAAAGATGGAGGAGATGTCCATGCCATCAGGAACAGACACCAGTTGGTACATGACCCTTTCCTGGGGGGTTCGCAAACGCGCTCTCAGGGTCTCATGGTCCGAGTCCAACTGGAGGTACAGTATAGAGAGGACACTGTTAGTTCATATTGAAGTCCCAACACAGCAGTTCAGTTCATCATTTCAATAATGCTGCGATATTACTTTGACTGTGTGTAACACTGATGAGGCTGAGAGGCATGAAGATGTTTCAGATATGTTTCCTCTAATCGGTTTATACAGTAGTTAGACTTATGCATGGCAACAATAACTTCATCAGTGCTATATCAGTGGATCACATTAAGATGTTAAAGCATTGCAACATTGTTTGGGTTACTGCAGTCAAAGAGATTTTCTAATTTCCAGCTTTACAGTCCAGTAAGGAAAGTTAATCATTATTCTTTCCATCCTTCCCCCAAGACAAATACACCCACCCACACATCTCTCCTTGTATTAGCTGTACTCATCAGTACCATTCAGAGGACTGAGCAAGAAGTTATATTGAGATGGGAGTTACGCCAACTCAGAGACCTTTTCCACTTTTAGAAGAGCTAATGTGTTGTTGACTCATCCTGTCAAGTTGACTGATCTAAAGGCTAATTCAATTCAGAATGCATCTAGATTTACATGATCTATAAATCTATAAATAAAAACATTTGCATGATGTTCCCCAATGATGGAAGGAGGGCCCCCCCCGATGGAAAAAGTTTGGGAACCACTCATCTTTTATTTAACCTTTATTTAACTAGGCAAGTCAGTTAAGAACAAATTCTTATTTACAATGACGGCCTACTTGTAAAGCCCCCCCGGCCAAACTCTCCCCTAACGACGTTGGGCCAATTGTGCGCCGCCCTATGGGACTCCCGATCACGGCCGGTTGTGATACAGCCTGGGATCGAACCCGGGTCTGTAGTGATGTCTCTAGTGACGTCTCAGTGCCTTAGACCGCTGTGCCACTCGGCTAGGCTAAGGGCTTATATAATAAGTGAGTTTTTATGAATGTAATACAATAAGTGAAGGAAACTGAATCAAACTATGGAAAGAAGACAGACCCTGGATTCTACCCCAGAAGATCATGTTCTTTGGCATATTCCCCTTCATAGACACACTCCACACAGAGTAATAGATGGTGTTCTACTGCCATCTATGGCTGAGCTCCAGTAACATACACAGAGAATATGGTATGATTACATCCAGTGGCGATCTACCACAACTGCCAATGCCATTGCATTTGTAAACCTATTACAAGTAGACACTCTCCTTTCAGAATATACAGAAATAGCTTCAAATGTTATGGTAATAGAGAATGGTTTTCATAAGAACTACTCAAACACACTACACACAAACAGTGGCTTGAATGGAGAGACCCGAATTAAGGAAGTCAGACAGAGATTTCGTTTAGTTCTCTTCAAGAGGGTGAATTGGCTATTAAATCATAGTTAAAGAATCCCTCAATTCATCAATGAAGTATTTGAGAGGATGAAACACACAAGGACAGACACAGTACCTGGAAGTTAAAGGGAACAAAATCCACCACCTGGAGAGGAAAACAAGATCCACCACAGAGTTGAAAGTTTAGATCAGCAGCAGTAGATAGGGCCAGACAGAGCAAACACAGCTCAGACATGAAACACAGACATAGAGGAGTCTCTGGTTGACTTACTGAGGATCTGGGCTCAGGACATTCTTCCTCATAGTCGGGATTCACCTGAAAAAATATCAAGAACCAGAATGGGATACTTAACTCCAACATGTGAGGAAGCAAGAGGCAATACATATTCCTCTAAGTGAATATAAAGTAGATCAGGTCCAACTTAAACTTAATCAAGACACGTCGTTAGGACTTTCAGATCGCATAATGAAGCACTGCAAGATGATTGTACACATTATACTCCCAGGCAGTGGCGACCCGTCATTCAGGGCCCCAGAGCCCCACCTGTTTTGAGGCCCACATTTTTTGCACAAAGAAAAATATATATATAATCATAATAATAATAATAATTTGGGGGGTTTGCCTGTTTCGCATGTTATTTTGGCATTAATACGTGTCACATATCAGTTTGTAACAATGTAAAAAAATATATAAATTAATAAAGCCGCATACAAACATGGTCTCTTTTTTTTGCTTTCTTGAGTAAGGCAGCTCCAAAATGCAGGTGTTTCAGCCTAGCTCAGTGCTTTCTGTGGTGGTGGGGCAGCCAGCGGAAAATACTGAGCGTAGGTGTTGGTAATGTTCTCTAGTTGCGCCGTGATTGGCTCAGTGTTCTGTCACTCATGGGGACACTACGTCACCGCCAAGTCTACGGGTAGAGCTCATAAATTCAAGCTGGATGGGTGCTGCCATAGAGTTACATTAGAAGTGCCCATCCAAGAAGGCTCAAGGTCATTGGCCACGGATAAAATGACCTCAAATCACGTTATATCTACAGTAGCTTTGATTGGACTGATCATGTCAACATCATACTTTCAAAATCTTAGCTAGCAGTCATCATCATGAATCAAGTCGACAATCTACTGGCAAATCCTTTTTAATCCTTGTCATATGAAAATATATAATGAAGAGAAATTATAGATAAAACGTATCGGTGCTCATCGGCCATTTGCCATAAACATTACACAACAAGTCGGAAATCGCAAATTCAACAATGAGTGATTTGGAAGGAATCAGTGGCTAACTGCAAGCATTGCAAAACAATCACTAGCCTGCTATTCAGTGGAGTGGCTGTGTGGTCTCAAGTCTGGGAATATGGGTCTCCTTTCCAAATTTAAAATGATAAACATTCAACATTGACCATGCTGTCAATTAAGCATGATTTGTGCCGCGCTCAAAAGAACATAACTCGGAACTGCGAAAACTTGACTTTAGTGAGTTCAAGACAACTGGGAACTCTGGAAAAAATTAGGTCCGACTGGGAAAATATGTTTTGAACGATCATCCAACTCGGAATTGTAAATCCGGAACTCGGGCCTCTTACTAGAGCTACGACCTGAAGATCACTGACGTCATCATGATTCGACTTTGTTTTTTTCAGAGTTCCCAGTTATCTTGAAAGCACCATAAATACAGAGAATGCCAGACTTTGATGACAAAATTTCCCCACGAAGGACCATCGCGCCACCTTCCTGTTCAAGTGAGCACAGCACAAGGTGAGTCCAAAAAGGTATTGTATGCTGCTGCATAAATGATGTAATATGCCAGGGAGATATGTATACTGTAGCTAAGAAAGTAATACTAAGTGTATGTTGTGTAGTAAACTGTTAGTAGCCCATGTGCCTCACCCTAATAATTTGATCTATTTTCCCCTCTCAATTTCAGCCACTGTTCTGACTTGGTGGTGCACATGCAGCCTGCTTATATGCCCCCTTTATTTATCCTACGGTTCTGACTTGGTGTACAGGGAGAACACCTGTAAAAACGGACCATGTTCTGAATTCTGTCGCTGTATATTTCAAAAGTGCTAAACAAATAGTTATATTGCCTGTCCGTCCTAGCTCGCTCATTAATGTCTTAATCAAAATTACGGATTGCCTCTTTTCCGCTTGTCGTCCCCTTATGCCATAGCTTGTACATATCAATTGTCATTAGAAACCACATTTGTTTAAGCAAGTCAGCCATATCAGCTATGTTTTTTTAAAAGGCAGTAAATGAGGCTGAATGAACTGTTTCGCTGCCAGACAAGGCTCCACTGATCGCCAGGTGTAGCAGTGGTAAGATGTTGGGACTGCTGTTTGGACTCTGCTGTTGGGACAGCTTTATGTAGGCCCTAACAGTTTGTGGGCACAATTTGTCACTGTTAAAGAACAATTAATGTATTGTTTAGTGTTGTGTTGTGGCTTTGCTGGAATGCATCCAACTTTTTTTTGTTTGTTTGCCCCACCAAGATTTACATGCAAAAATCGCCACTGCTCCCAGGTATGAATCAATTGAGCCATGCAAGTGCTTGGTTGGTAGACTACCATGTAATATGATTCCAGTCGGTGTGAGAGGACTCACCTCAGCAGCCAGGTATGATCCTGTGGCAAGGTGTTTGAACCTGAACAGGCTGTTCCAGTAGCCAGCCCCGCCCCGACAAGGGTCATGGTGGACCACCTGATAGAAGAATGAAAAACCTGACAGCATGAGAAACAGCTGTCTGGACAACGTCTGGACTGATAACATACAAGTAAAAACATCTTATAAGATGCAGGACGACCCACATGGTTTCACCTGGTTCTCTCCATCCCAGGGGCCTCATTTATCAATCATGCGTAGGCACAAACATGTGCGTAAACCATGCGTGGGATCATTTCCACACAAAGTGTGAGATTAAAAAATAGGAACTTTTGCTTGAGAGTGTGTGTAAATTTACGCACAGCCATGACCATGTGTACGCACAGTGCCAAGTGGTGGAATGAGGGAACTGCTTGTCAAGCGTAACCTAGAGAATGGGGAAATTATATGTTGAAAATGTGTGAAATTGTGAGAGTAATAATTCAATCATTCTTCGATTTCATTGTATTTCCATTGTGAATTCATGCAACATAGTATCTTGACAGGCTATATCATATACACGACATATACAAAAGTATGTGGACACCCCTTCAATTTAGTGGATTCGGCTATTTTAGCCACAACCGTTGCTGACAGGTGTATAACATCGAGCTCACAGCCATGCAATCTCCATAGACAAACATTGGCAGAAGAATGGCCTTATTGAAGAGCTCAGTGACTTTCAACGTGGCACAGTCAAATTTCTGCACTGCTAGAGCTGCCCCGGACAACTGTAAGTTATGTTACTGTGAAATGGAAAAGTCTAGGAGCAACAACGGCTCAGCCGCAAAGTGGTAGGCCACACAAGCTCACAGAACGGGACCGCCGGGTGCTGAAGCACGTAAAAATCATCTGTCCTCGGTTGCAACACTCACTATCGAGTTCCAAACTGCCTCTGGAAGCAATGTCAGCACAATAACTGTTTGTCGGGAGCTTCATGAAAAGGGTTTCCATGGCCGAGCAGCTGCACACAAGCCTAACACCAAGCGTCGGCTGGAGTTGTGTAAAGCTCGCCGCAATTGGACTCTGGAGCAGCGGAAACGCGTTCTGCTTCACCATCTGGCAGTCCAACGGATGAATCTGGGTTTGGCGGATGCCAGAAAAACGCTACCTGCCCGAATGCATAGTGCCAACTGTAAAGTTTGGTGGAGGAGAAATATTGGTCTGGGGCTGTTTTTCATGGTTCGGGCTAGGTCGTTTAGTTCCAGTGAAGGGAAATCTTAACGCTACAGCATACAATTACATTTTAGATGATTCTGTGCTTCCAACTTTGTGGCAACAGTTTGGGGAAGGCCCTTTCCTGTTTCAGCATGACAGTGCCCCTTTGCACAAAGCGAGGTCCATACACAAATGGTTTATCGAGATCGGTGTGGAAGAACTTGACTGGCCTGCACAGAGCCCTGACCTCAACCCCATCGAACACCTTTGGGATGAATTGGAACTCCAACTGCGAGCCAGGCCTAATCATCCAACATCAGTGCCCGACCTCACTAATGCTCTTGTGGCTGAATGGAAGCATGTCCCCGCAGCAATGTTCCAACATCTAGTAGAAAGCCTTCCCAGAAGAGTTGAGGCTGTTATAGCAGCAAAGGGTGGACCAACTCCATATTAATGCCCATGATTTTGGAATGTTCGACGAGCAGGTGTCCACATACTCTTGGTCATGTAGTGTAATTTGACCACATCAGTGCATTTTGTTAAGATAATAATCCATATAAAGTACAGTAGTTTGTTTAATTACCGGCACATTAATTTCGCAGAGAGCACGTTTTTAGTGACAGGTGGGATCTTTTTGCAGAAAGTACAGATTGGCTCATCAGATATCGTTTCCCACAACAGATCTTATTGGATTTTTGCAAGGACCCTCAGGTTTTTGGGAACAGGCACTTTTCAGCAGGGAGCTTGCCGATCAGCATCTCACAGCTCACGATGAACCAATGTTTTGAATGCATACACCATCGCACAACAGTTTAAAGTCAAGAGGGGTTTCATTGCAATCAATGGGCTCCCAAATACCAACAGAGCAATAAAAGCCCCATCCCAAAATGAGTTCAACTATGGAAAAGGCTTCCACTCTCTTAATGTGCAGGTGATAGGTTATGTGATGCGCGAAAGACACTGCTGAATGTGGTGGCCAGGTGGAACGCACAACTCGCTCATTCTTCAGAACAGCAATGTTGGCCTATACACCTACAGGAGGGAGCTGTTGAGGATAGATGGCTTATCGGTGAGTGTTGCCTACTCATTTGAAGTATATTTGCCATTGCTAAAGCAACTTCAATTATCCTAATGGTCCTCTCTTTGTCGCTACTGTATGTTTGTATTTTTACTGATCAAGCCACAACTGAGCGAGCCTAATAAAACCTTTTGGTTGTACTCAACCTCTGACACTAACACCTCTATTTCAGTATCGAAAAAGTATAATTTTTCGTAGCTTTTTTTTGGTTGCACCATTGTATATCATGGCAGGGTGTTGTATATTTCCCATAGGCTTTAAAGGGATGATTTTGACCATATATGGTTAATTAGGGGCGTTTCGTAATGAAAATAGCCAAGGTTGTGCACGAGCACTGAGGCTGAGAACAATATTGGTATTTATCAATGGTGATCTCCTACCGATGTGCGTATGATGCTCGTAGGATTGTTTGATAAATCACACTTTCTTTGCGTATGAACATTCTAAATTATGTTTGTAAGTAGTATTTTAGAATAGTTTCTCCGCAAAATTGATAAATTAGGCCCCAGGAGTTATTCAGGGTAATTAGCTTTGGAACAACCTACAGAATGTCATGGCAATGCAAAGTTATCGCGTAACCATGTCCTTAAATATCAGTGTCATATGTGATTGTGTACCATGAATTACACCATGTATCTAATATCTCATTGTCCTATGCTCACCTCCACTTCCCACAAGGCCTTGCTGCTTGTGGCGGAGGTGGCGGACTGGCGTCCTGTAGTCCTGAGAAAGACGTACTCCTTCTTCTTGAAGTCGTCACATGTCAGGAACTTCTCCTGCTCTGCATGGAACAGCCGAACAACGTCACCCTGGCAACACAAACACAGACACCAGTCCGTAAAATGAGGGCAGGAGAGCCATCTACCCTGTTTAATGTGTTATTATGTCCAATACATTTCAATCAACTAATCAGAGTACCTACCCCTTTAAGAATGGTTTCCTTGTTGTCACTCCATTTCATGAACAAAACTACTTTCCAACTTGTGTTGCAGTTTACAGAGTTCACCTGAAAAACAAAAGGATAAGCATGTGTGAGTTGTGTCAGGAAAGACTTGGTTTAATTCTCGGTTATACGGTTGACATAAAGACGTTTATTCACATCATCAAGTTTGTCTTAAAGTGACATCAAAAAGTTTTTGTGCATGTGGGTTTGTACAGGCTTGCAGGGATGGAGGAGCACAGTAATTATGCACTGAATGTACAAAACATTAGGAACACCTGCTCTTTCCATGACAGATTAACCAGGTGAAGCCAGGTGAAAGATATGATCCCTTATTGATGTCACTTGTTAAATCTACTTCAATCCGTGTATATGAAGGGGAGGAGACAGGTTAAAGAAGGATTTTTAAGTCTTGAGACAATTGAGACATGGATTGTGTATATATGTTATTCAGATGGTGAATGGGCAAGACAACATATTTAAGTGTCTTTGAACGGGGAGATTTAAAAATAGGAACTTTTGCTTGAGAGTGTGTGTAAATTTACGCACAGCCATGACCATGTGTACGCACAGTGCCAAGTGGTGGAATGAGGGAACTGCTTGTCAAGCGTAGCCTAGAGAATGGGGAAATTATATGTTGAAAATGTGTGAAATTGTGAGAGTAATAATTCAGTAATTCTTCAATTTCATTGTATTTCCATTGTGAATTCATGCAACATATAATCTTGACAGGCTATATCATATACACTACATATACAAAAGTATGGAGGAGCACAGTAATTATGCACTGAATGTACAAAACATTAGGGACACCTGCTCTTTCCATGACAGATTAACCAGGTGAAACCAGGTGAAAGCTATAATCCCTTATTGATGTCACTTGTTAAATCTACTTCAATCAGTATAGATGAAGGGGAGGAGACAGGTTAAAGAAGGATTTTTAAGCCTTGAGACAATTGAGACATGGATTGTGTTTGTGTGCCATTCAGATGGTGAATGGGCTAGACAACAAATGTAAGTGCCTTTGAACGGGGTATGGTAGTAGGTGCCAGGAGCACCGGTTTGAGCATTTTAAGAACTGCAATGCTGCTGGGTTTTTCAAGCTCAATAGTTTCCCGTGTGTCTCAAGACTGGTCCACCAACCAAAGGAAATCCAGCCAACTAAACACAACTGTGGGAAGCATTGGAGTCAACATGGGCCAGCATCCCTGTGGAACGCTTTTGACACCTTGTAGAGTCCACGCCCTGACGGATTCAGGCTGTTCTGAGGGCAGAAGGGAGTGCAACTCAATAATAGGATGGTGTTCCTAATGTTTTTACACTGCCCTTTATCGCAGTCATTTGTCTTTACGGCTGTTGAGCTTTAAGAGTGGAGTAGGGACTAGCATAAATAACCATCACTTCATTAATTTGAGACAATATGGCCGTTTTACACTCCAATCTTCACATATAGCAAGGATGATTAGTAAATACAGTATGCAACAAGAATAAGACAGGAACTAATGAATGTGTTTCCTCATCTTAGAGAGGACAGAATGAACAATTACAAAGCACAGTTCTCAGCATGGTTAAAACCTGCACTACTCGAGGAAGTGAAATGTGCAGGGACACCTTGATTAATTAAACAATAGAGACTTTCCCAATATGGATTCTGTTCCACAAGATGAAACATGTACTCTACCTCATTGCATCCTGGGTTGTCCACCAGTTGATGGCTGCTGGCATGAAGGGGCTGTCCAGCGTTCACAGGGTTAAGGACCACCTTGTCTCCAATCACCACCTAGACAGACCGGGGAGCAATCAATAGCATTATTATACACACAGAGTATAATCAACTACACAGAATCTCACCGCCACACATGCTCACACACAAACACACATGAACACACAGAAACACACAGAGACATGGACACAGAGGCACAACAAACAGAAAGACAGTCTGATTGTGTGTCATTGAGTATGGACCACCCATACACAAAAATGTATGCACGCATGACTGTAAGTCGCTTTGGATAAAAGCGTCTGCTAAATGGCATTTTATTATTATTATTATATTTCTACATGCACACTAATAATTCAATATTAAACTGATTATGGCAGTAGGCTGATTATGCAATAGTCATCTAAACACCTTACTCTGCTTATCTTAATTGGCGTGAAGTCAAAATCTAAGTAAGCATACGCTGATTAAAACACCTGGTTTTCTGAGCATTCTTCCGAAATTATTAGGACATGTAAACACCTTAATCGGCGTTCCAGCGGTGTATTTGAGCTGCGCATGTGCTAGCACCAGCCGAGCGAGCCTCCCTCTTTTGCACGAGTGAAGTGAGTTCGGAATAACTGAATGTATGCATCTTAGAAGTAGTTTTCACATACAAACTTTATATGTTCGAACTTAGAATCAAATATGCTTCCCAAAAATAACATGTTCACAGTGGTAGAACGTTTATATTGAATGGTGATTGGCATTTTCAGAGTTCCATCAGGTAGCCTGATTTCAGATGTGTCCATGTAAACAGGATTATTAGGGGAATCGGTCTTCTTGCAAAGCATGTAAACGTTTTAATCAAACTATTATATTAAACTATTATATTAATATGAGCACTGCCACTGCATAGTTAATTCTTGTCAACAACCACTATCCTCTTAATGTTGTTTTAACTAGTGCCTGGTGCTATGTAACACCAGGCAAATATGATAACACATTGGTCGACTTGTTCACATCAGACCATGTTGTCTACCAACCACTAGGTGGCACACTGGACCATCTCATCAGCACAGGAATCATTCAACCAGAAATACCCTAATGGCTAAAGCTAATGATGATGAACTTACCTACTGTAGCCTACTTGCAATTGAACTAGTACACACCCTAAGGCCATCACAATGTCAAAATAGGTAATGATATATTAGTGTAATCGTACAACTTGTCAATTCTTTACACCAACGCTTGATGCTTAAGCGGCATCAAGCGTTAACAGAGGAGTGCTGTCCGAGAGATCCTGGTGGTAATGATTTTTGCTGTGGCCACTGATGCCAGGAGCTTTAAGAATCTTGTGTGCCAGACTCATCAGGTGAATTTTCAGTGAGATCTTTACCTGGTAGGCTTGATCACTCTTTATCTAGATGCCTACTGACAATACAACTTTGACCAGCTAGCCTGAACGGTTAAATGCTAAAATGCTAGAAATATCCACCAATTAAGAAATTGAAACCTGGAGAGAACATTACCGATAGCTAAGAATCACAACAATCAATGAGCATCACGTCTTGCTCTTGAGAGGAAAGGCTGTTGTCTGGGCTTTACCGTTGTTCTATAGAGACATGACAAGACTTCCTATCTGACCTTTGACCCACACTACAGCCAACCCTGGGCTAGACACTCACACTGTCTCCCAGGGAGCGCAGTTTGTAGAAGGGCTGAATGTAAAACCAGGAGCCCTCGTTGCCTGCAGAGTCCAGCGTCACCCTCATAGCATTCTTCTCCAACAGGGCAGGGAGTCGCTTATTCACCGTCAGGTACTTATTGCTTTTCAAATGCAACAGCTGGAACAGTGGCAAACAACAGACACAGTTACAAACTCATACGTGCATGTAAACATAATAATTTACAGAAGCATGTCACAGTCTGAGTCTATTATGGAGTATATCTACAGGGAGAGATTTAGTTAGATGTCAAATATTGGCACAGTGGCCATTCCTAGATATCCCCAAAGGAATGTGCCATGTGAAAATATCACACTTTCTGGCCCATTTTCTCCCCCTGGATAATTATTTTAAATATATATACATATATCTGAACAAGTGCCTTGGAGTATTATATATATATATATATATATAAATAATACTCCAAGGCACTTGTTCAGATATATGTCTCATGGCCTTCTTTGCTCCATAATTTCATTGAATAAATAAATCAGGCATGTTTACTCTATTGACCTCAACCAGCCTCGCCGCCTCAAACAAGTATTCAATGACGACTGGTACTGTGAGACTAGACCTTAACCAACCTTTCTGATTGTGATTGTTTGTTTTGAGGGAGAAAGCAGGGACTGAAAAAACTAGTAGTTCAAAATGTCTCAGACAATTACAGATCTATGCATTTACAATGCATGCTCTCAAGTGCTGTAGCTAACCACTTACTAGTGTAGTAAGACCGTGTTAAATATCAAACACTGGCAGAGGTGCACAGCTGTACCCTACTGCCCTCAATACCTTTCCTGACATCACCCCCCTAAAACTCATAAACCCCATAGGCCTACTGTACAACTTCCTCAAATACAGTTCTGAAAGCATGAGCACCATTGTTCAGGAGATAGCTGTCCTAAAATATATGCAGGTGTTTTGCCTTTTTAGATTATAGATATCACTAATACCATGGGTCTGTCACTTGACACCAACTGACATAGGGAAGAGTGGGGTAAGTTGAGCCATTATTACATTCAGCATCACTCCGTCAAAGAAAAAATTGTATTCTTTCTAACAAAGATATCTACATATATTTCAGGATGTTGTGCACCCCCCCCCCCCCCCCCCCCCAAATTTTTTTGTCCAAGAAAAGTGGTATCTTGGCACAACTTACCCCGGGTATGTGGTAGGTTGAGCTGCGCGACATGGTAAGTTAAGCCGCCTAAACATTTCTGTACTGAATTAAATATTACTACTACCTTCTTAAACCATGTCTATCTTTATTTCCCAAAGACAATTCAACACAATCACTTTTTTGTATTTTAATAATTTTAAGCATCTTTTAACACAGGCTTAATACCTAACAAACACTTTGTACTTTTTTAAACACTTTTAACATATTCCAGGCCCTGTTGTTACCTCATATCCCAGGATAATGCCTTGCATTACACCTGGGAAGAAAACACTTCAATATGCTGAACTTCCATCGGCTCAACTTACCCCAAGGCAAACATTTTGACTATATTAGCCCCCACAGCTACAAGGATACACTTTCATGCTAGGTTTAGGAACTCATATTGAAGCTTATAGAGACCCCAACTGATGATTAGAATACACAAATATATATATATATATATATCTACCTTGGTTTAGATACAAGCATCATTAAACCTCTAACACAATAAATTCATTTGACTTGCTTTCCACTTTTTCCATGTGGTTTGGTATTTGGTATTTTATTAGGATCCCCATTCGCTGTTGCAAAAGCAGCAGCTACTCTTCCTGGGGTCCACACAAAACATGAAACATGACATAATACAGAACATTAATAGACAAGAACAGCTCAAGGACAGAACTACATACATTTTTTTTAAAGGCACACGTAGCCTACGTATCAATACATACACACAAACTATCTAGGTCAAATAGGGGAGAGGTGTTGTGCCGTGAGGTGTTGCTTTAACTGTTTTTTGAAACCAGGTTTGTTGTTTATTTGAGCAATAGGTGATGGAACGGAGTTCCATGCAATAATGTCTCCTTCACAATAATGGCTCCTTTACAGACTCCATGAAATGATGACCTCTTCCTAAATATTTGGTCAAATTATTAATTTTTTGTATGGTTTCCTAGAAACAAGGGTGGCTCATCTTACCCCTTTGGCACAACTTACCCCACTCTCCCCTACTATAGAGCACATCTACTTCTAGTGGTCCATTAGACCTGTTTCCCTGTGACCTGATCATCTAACTTCTGTGTAGTAGACTTTTGGTCAAATATGCAGAGAATGATAATGCCTGGATGATAATTGGCTGCATTTATGGAGGAGCTGTATTGCCTCTGCTCCAGGCTCTTCACTAACCTTAATGACACTGTCATGTTATGGCTTTACCAAACTCAATCTCCACATCACCCCTACTCTTCCTGGTCATACCTGAATGACATTTCCGTATTGGATTACAGTTCCTAGCAGTTTTCGGTTCTCAGATTCATTCTGTTTCTTCTCCAGATCAGCAGCATGCTGAAACATAGGGATAAAATATTATGTCAGACAATACAATAGCCACAAATGAAAGAGAAAACTCACCAGACCAATTGTCGGTCTGCACAGTACGGGGCCGGTTATTCGCTGTTCATTCGCTTGCTGTCTACGCGGTGTGTTTAATGGGACCACCCACCGTTGGTGACTATCGGCCGTCATTTTCGCTTGTTTCTACATGTAGAATCGGTTTGCACTTGGTTTGCAAATCACGGCCAGCACTCTGTTCAGAGGTGCGAAGTACTCTCGGCCGGGAGACGCTCGACAATCCTACCGGTCTGTCCATGTCTTTAGATTTAGTGCTCCAAAAACACATTCAGAATAAGATGCAGTTCTTTATGAAATACCGATCTGGGTTTATGGCGTGTAATAAAAGTGAGTGTCTCACTTGTAATGATTTTCTCGACCTCAACAACATGGCAACGCATGCAGATTAGAACCAGTAGGCAGAATGGGAAGCAGTTGTGTTAGAGAACAAGGAATAGAAACCAGTGCGATGAGGGTACTCACGTGGAGTTTGTTCAGGAGTACTGTGTCAGTGGTGCTGTTTCCCCCTGGTTTTGCTGCCTTCCAGAACTGTTTCTGTGCAGAGTACCTGTTCATGGGGCACAGTTTGAAAAGGCAGTCTGGAAAGAGGAACAGAGAAGGAGTCAGAGAAAAGAGGTGCTGATTTATCATCAAATCCATAACATCGAGTGCATGATGAATAAAGCGGTGGGAATAGTTACCAAAAGGGCATGGAGGAGTAATCAGTTGTCACTATAACAAGGGCATGACTATCTCTAAATCAATACAACAGGATGACGGGGAGTCCTGACAGAAAACCCTAGTTCCTCCTCCAGTTCCGAGGCTGGCTACCTGCGAGGCACAATGGGGGACCTGATTATCTGTGACGTGTAAAAATAGCCGTTCCAGTGAGTACCAAGCGCCACCACAAAACTCGTCCGACGAACGCCACAGCGTCCAAGGATTAGCTGTCATGGGATGCATGGTGGGGGAGAGGGAAGAGTGGGATGGATAAGCACAGGAGGAGGGTGAGAGGAGAGAGCCAGGGACAGTAGGAGAGAGGGGTAGGTAAATGAGAGAGGGAGAGGAAGTGGGTTTAGGGAGTGAAGAAGACCAGGTTAGGGGAATTAGGATAGGAGGACAGAATGGGGAGGGGTGTATGCAAATGTTACACAGTAGGAAGGAAGGGTTGTGGTTTTTCTTTTTTTAACAACAGTTGGCAAACTGTACAGGAAATGGCAGAGTACAGTAGTACACAACCCACAAGGCAAACACTGAGGAACTGAGACAGGAATCAACATAAAACAGGCCATTGAAATGCTTAAAACAATGCTGGTTTAGATCAAATAAATGGTATTTTACACAGCAGGCCCACTGTACTAAATAATATAATAATGTACTAATATATATGTAAGACTTAGTACATAATTGTCACAGTCACATTAACTACAGCATGCTCTGCCTGACTGTGATTATCAGATTATAAAAGGGTCAACAGGCAACATTCTTCAAATACCATTGCCTTCTCCTTTCATCCACAGCTCTCTGAGAAGTGTATGAATACAATCAGAGACAGTCTATCACTGACAGGAATGAGTCGTCCTAGCAGTGGGTAATATTTCCTAGCGAAACACACTAAGTGTCAGACATGACACCAAAGCAATTACTGTTGCAATGTACCAATCCCACATCAGAGAGGAAGAAGTGAGGTTTAAAACGCTGGGCTAAAGCTCCATGGAAACCAGTCCTTTTAAATAGCTTAACAGGGCTATTAATACTCAACAGGGATCTTAGGATTTAGCCTGGTACACTTTTCCTCTGTACAGTGCTCAGACACACTGAGATGTTGCATGGAGTCTCAGTCCTGTTGCTGTGGCTACCTGGAGGAGTGATGAGGCCTGTGAAAGGCTGGAGAGGTGGGGTGAAGATGAGTACACTGCTCCATCCCACACAAACTTTGAATCCCCATGAGGACACTGAGGAACATAAGGTTGAAACATACTGATGCCATAGCACTTGGTCATGTCATCACTTCAGGTCATCACTTGAATTGCCCTCAATAGACTGTGCTATACTTCAAATGCAATGCCAGTAAAACCCTGCGAGAGAATGCTATCCTCTCACTGTGCAGGGGGAACAGTAGCCAGACCAGGCCTGTTAGGAACCACACAAGAGCTCAATTGTTCTACATCCATATCCATTACTGACCAATCTCAGAGTAATTTCTCTGGAATCCCAATAACCCTGGAACCTTGAAATTTGCAATAGATGCCCACAGCACACTAGAGCTTCAGTTCCAGAAGGAACTTCTGACATTGCCTTTAACAAAGTAGTTCACTAGAACACCTACTCATCGAAGGATTTTTATTTATTTTTACTATTACTATAGAATAATAGTGAAGACATCAAAATTATGAAATAACACATATGGAATCATGTAGTAACCAAAAAAGTGTTCAACAAATCTAATTATATTTTATATCTGAGATTCCTTAAAAAGCCACCCTTTGTCTTGATGACAGCTTTGCACACTCTTGGCATTCTCTCAAACAGCTTCACCTGGAATGCTTTTCCAAAAGTCTTGAAGGGTGACCATATCCCACAAAGGTGGAGGTGTTGCTAACATTTGCGACAGCAAATTTCAATTTCCCCAACATTCAAAAATTACTGTGTTTTAGTCTTTTGAGGTTCTAGTCATGAAATCAAATCAAATCAAATTGTATTTGCCACATGCGCTGAATACAACAGGTGTAGACATTACCGTGAAATGCTTACTTACAGCCCTTAACTAACAATGCATTTATTCCTTAATAAAAAAGTTTAAAAAAAAAAAAAAAAAAAAAAAAGTGTTGAGAAGAAAAGAGCAGAAGTGAAATAAAATAACAGTAAGGACGCTATATACAGGGGGATACCGGTGCAGAGTCAATGTGCGGGGGCACCGGCTAGTTGAGGTAGTTGAGGTAACATGTACATGTGGGTAGAGTTAAAGTGACTATGCATAAATAATTAACAGAGTAGCAGCAGCGTAAAAAGATGGGGTGGGGGTGCAAATAGTCCGGGTAGCCATGATTAGCTGTTCAGTAGTCTTATGGCTTGGGGGTAGAAGCTGTTGTGAAGCCTTTTGGACCTAGACTTGGCGCTCCGGTACCGCTTGCCGTGCGGTAGCAGAGAGAACAGTCTATGACTAGGGTGGCAGGAGTCTTTGACAATTTTGAAGGCCTTCCTCTGACACCGCCTGGTATAGAGGTCCTGGATGGCAGGAAGCTTGGCCCCAGTGATGTACTGGGCCGTACGCACTACCCTCTGTACTGCCTTGCGGTCGGAGGCCGAGCAGTTGCCATACCAAGCGGTGATGCAACCAGTCAGGATGCTCTCAATGGTGCAGCTGTAGAACATTTTGAGGATCTGAGGACCCATGCCAAATCTTTTCAGTCTCCTGAGGGGGAATAGGCTTTGTCGTGCCCTCTTCACGACTGTCTTGGTGTGTTTGGACCATGATAGTTCGTTGGTGATGTGGACACCAAGGAACTTGAAGCTCTCAACCTGTTCCACTACAGCCCAGTCGATGAGAATGGGGGCGTGCTCATTCCTCTTTTTTTCCCCTATAGTCCATAATCATCTCCTTTCTCTTGGTCACGTTGAGGGAGAGGTTATTTTTCTGGCAACACACGGCCAGGTCTCTGACCTCCTCCCTATAGGCTGTCTCATCGTTGTCTGTGATCAGGCCTACCACTGTTGTGTCGTCGGCAAACTTAATGATGGTGTTGGAGTCATGCCTGGCCATGCAGTCATGTGTGAACAGGGAGTACAGGAGGGGACTGAGCACGCACCCCTGAGGGGCCCCCGTGTTGAGGATCAGCGTGGCAGATGTGTTGTTACCTACCCTTACTACCTGGGGGCGGCCGGTCAGGAAGTCCAGGATCCAGTTGCAGAGGGAGGTGTTTAGTCCCAGGATCCTTAGCTTAGTGATGAGCATTGAGGGCACTATGATGTAGAATGCTGAGCTGTAGTCAATGAATAGCATTCTCACGTAGGTGTTCCTATTGTCCAGGTGGGAAAGGGCAGTGTGGAGTGCAATAGAGATTGCATCATCTGTGGATCTGTTGGGGCGGTATGCAAATTGGAGTGGGTCTAGGGTTTCTGGGATAATGGTGTTGATAATCTATGCAGCCTACTCAATCACTTTTTATAGCTACTGTTTACAGGCCTCCTGGGCCGTATACAGCGTTCGTCACTGAGTTTTCTGAATTCCTATCGGACCTTGTAGTCATGGCAGACAATATTCAAATTTTTGGTTACTTTAATATCCACATGGAAAAGTCCACAGACCCACTCCAAAAGGCTTTCGGAGCCATCATCGACTCAGTTGGTTTTTGTCCAACTGTAGTGGGTTCGATCCCCGGGACCACCCATACCCCAAAAAAAAAATGTATGCACGCATGACTGTAAGTCGCTTTGAATAAAAGCGTCTGCTAAATGGCATATTATTATTATTTATCTAGTATTGTCCCGTGGAATAAATATTGTGGCTCTAATCCTGGACTATCAGACCACCATTTTATTATGTTTGGCTCAGACCCCAACCAAGGATTATCAAAAGGACAACCCAAAGATCCCTAGATGCCCTTCCAGACTCCCTCCACCTACTCAAGGACGTCAGAGTATAAAAATCGGTTAACCACCTAATTGGGGACCTAAATTTAACCTTTCGTAATACCCTAGATGCAGTCGCACCCCTAAAAACAAAAGACATTTCTCACAAGAAATTAGCTCCCTGGTATACAGAAAATACCCGAGCCCCCCCCCCCCCAATTTATACCGTCGCAAAACTAACTAAAAAGCAGCATTCCCCAAGAGAGGATGGCTTTCACTTCAGCAGTGATGAATTCATGAACTTCTTCGACAAAAAGATAATGATCATTAGAAAGCAAATTACGGACTCCTCTTTGAATCTGCGTATTTCTCCAAAGCTCAGTTATCCTGAGTCTGCACAGAATTGCCAGGACATAGGATCAATGGAGACACTCAAGGTTTTCATCCTGTATCTCTCGACACATTCACGAAAATAGTCATAGCCTCTAAACCTTCCAGCTGCATACTGGACCCTATTCCAACTAACCTACTGAAAGAGCTCCTTCTTGTGATTGGCCCTCCTATGTTGAACATAATAAATGGCTCCCTATCCTCCGGATGTGTACCAAACTCACTAAAAGTGGGGTAATAAAGCATCTCCTGAAAAAGCCAAACCTTGACCTGGAAATGTTTTTAAAAATAGGGCTATGTGAGTGACGCAGACTCGGTCTCGACCTTCAAGTTCCTGTTTTGCGCCCCCTCGGGCTCGTGCGGTGGAGGAGATCTTTGTGGGCTATACTCAGCGTTGTCTCAGGGTAGTAAGTTGGTGGTCTGTTGATATCCCTCTAGCGATGTGGGGGCTGTGCTTTGGCAAAGTGGGTGGGGTTATGTCCTGCCTGGTTGGCCCTGTCAGGGGGTATCGTCAGACGGGGCATCAGTGTTCCCCGACCCCCCCCCCCCCCCCCCCCCCCCCGTCTCAACCTCCAGTATCTATGCTGCAATAGTCTATGTGCCGGGGGGCTAGGGTCAGTCTGTTTTTTTTTTGTTTTTTTTAGGGGGTAGATCAGCTTAATATTGCAGATAGATTGTAACTTCCATCAATGTAATTGTCTGCATCACTTCCAATCCCCCATGTTTTTTTATATGTATGTGTATGTATGTGTATGTGTGTGTATGTATATGTGTATATGTATGTGTGTATATATATATATATATATATATATATATATATACAGTGGGGAGAAAAAGTATTTGATACACTGCCGATTTTGCAGGTTTTCCTACTTACAAAGCATGTAGAGGTCTGTAATTTTTATCATAGGTACACTTCAACTGTGAGAGACGGAATCTAATACAAAAATCCAGAAAATCACATTGTATGATTTTTAAGTAATTAATTTGCATTTTATTGCATGACATAAGTATTTGATACATCAGAAAAGCAGAACTTAATGTTTGGTACAGAAACCTTTGTTTGCAATTACAGAGATCATACGTTTCCTGTAGGTCTTGACCAGGTTTGCACACACTGCAGCAGGGATTTTGGCCCACTCCTCCATACAGACCTTCTCCAGATCCTTCAGGTTTCGGGGCTGTCGCTGGGCAATACGGACTTTCAGCTCCCTCCAAAGATTTTCTATTGGGTTCAGGTCTGGAGACTGGCTAGGCCACTCCAGGACCTTGAGATGCTTCTTACGGAGCCACTCCTTAGTGGCCCTGGCTGTGTGTTTCGGGTCGTTGTCATGCTGGAATACCCAGCCACGACCCATCTTCAATGCTCTTACTGAGGGAAGGAGGTTGTTGGCCAAGATCTCTCGATACATGGCCCCATCCATCCTCTCCTCAATACGGTGCAGTCGTCCTGTTCCCTTTGCAGAAAAGCATCCCCAAAGAATGACGTTTCCACCTCCATGCTTCACGGTTGGGATGGTGTTCTTGGGATTGTACTCATCCTTCTTCTTCCTCCAAACACGGCGAGTGGAGTTTAGACCAAAAAGCTCTATTTTTGTCTCATCAGACCACATGACCTTCTCCCATTCCTCCTCTGGATCATCCAGATGGTCATTGGCAAACTTCAGACGGGCCTGGACATGCGCTGGCTTGAGCAGGGGGACCTTGCGTGCGCTGCAGGATTTTAATCCATGACGGCGTAGTGTGTTACTAATGGTTTTCTTTGAGACTGTGGTCCCAGCTCTCTTCAGGTCATTGACCAGGTCCTGCCGTGTAGTTCTGGGCTGATCCCTCACCTTCCTCATGATCATTGATGCCCCACGAGGTGAGATCTTGCATGGAGCCCCAGACCGAGGTTGATTGACCGTCATCTTGAACTTCTTCCATTTTCTAATAATTGCGCCAACAGTTGTTGCCTTCTCACCAAGCTGCTTGCCTATTGTCCTGTAGCCCATCCCAGCCTTGTGCTATCTACAATTTTATCCATGATGTCCTTACACAGCTCTCTGGTCTTGGTCATTGTGGAGAGGTTGGAGTCTATTTGATTGAGTGTGTGGACAGGTGTCTTTTATACAGATAACGAGTTCAAACAGGAGCAGTTAATACAGGTAATGAGTGGAGAACAGGAGGGCTTCTTAAAGAAAAACTAACAGGTCTGTGAGAGACGGAATTCTTACTGGTTGGTAGGTGATCAAATACTTATGTCATGCAATAAAATGCAAATTAATTACTTAAAAATCATATAATGTGATTTTCTGAATTTTTGTTTTAGATTCCGTCTCTCACAGTTCAAGTGTACCTATGATAAAAATTACAGACCTCTACATGCTTTGTAAGTAGGAAAACCTGCAAAATCGGCAGTGTATCAAATACTTGTTCTCCACACTGTGTATATATATATATATATATATATATATATATACAGTGAGGGAAAAAAGTATTTGATCCCCTGCTGATTTTGTACATTTGCCCACTGACAAAGACATGATCAGTCTATCATTTTAATGGTAGGTTTATTTTAACAGTGAGAGACAGAATAACAACAACAAAAATCCAGAAAAACGCATGTCAAAAATTTTATAAATTGATTTGCATTTTAATGAGGGAAATAAGTATTTGACCCCCTCTCAATCAGAAAGATTTCTGGCTCCCAGGTGTCTTTTATACAAATAACGAGCTAAGATTAGGTGCACACTCTTAAAGGGAGTGCTCCTAAACTCAGCTTGTTACCTGTATAAAAGACACCTGTCCACAGAAGCAATCAATCAATCAGATTCCAAACTCTCCACCATGGCCAAGACCAAAGAGCTCTCCAAGGATGTCAGGGACAAGATTGTAGACCTACACAAGGCTGGAATGGGCTACAAGACCATCGCCAAGCAGCTTGGTGAAAAGGTGACAACAGTTGGTGCGAGTATTCGCAAATGGAAGAATCACAAAATAACTGTCAATCTCCCTCGGCCTGGGGCTCCATGCAAGATCTCACATCGTGGAGTTGCAATGATCATGAGAATGGTGAGGAAACAGACCAGAACTACACGGGAGGATCTTGTCAATGATCTCAAGGCAGCTGGGACCATAGTCACCAAGAAAACAATTGGTAACACACTACGCCGTGAAGGACTGAAATCCTGCAGCGCCCGCAAGGTCCCCCTGCTCAAGAAAGCACATATACAGGCCCGTCTGAAGTTTGCCAATGAACATCTGAATGATTCAGAGGAGAACTGGGTGAAAGTGTTGTGGTCAGATGAGACCAAAATGGAGCTCTTTGGCATCAACTCAACTCGCCGTGTTTGGAGGAGGAGGAATGCTGCCTATGACCCCAAGAACACCATCCCCACCGTCAAACATGGAGGTGGAAACATTATGCTTTGGGGGTGTTTTTCTGCTAAGGGGACAGGATAACTTCACCGCATCAAAGGGACGATGGACGGGGCCAGAGAAGATCTGCAAAGAGGAGTGGGACAAAATCCCTCCTGAGATGTGTAAAGTGGTTGTGTAAAGTGGTTATCCCACTGGCTATAGGGTGAATGCACCAATTTGTGAGTCGCTCTGGATAAGAGCGTCTGCTAAATGACGTAAATGTGCCCTTGAGCAAGGCACTTAACCCTAATTGCTCCTGTAAGTCGCTCTGGATAAGAGCGTCTGCTAAATGACTAAAATGTAAATGTAAAATGTGTGCAAACCTGGTGGCCAACTACAAGAAACGTCTGACCTCTGTGATTGCCAACAAGGGTTTTGCCACCAAGTACTAAGTAATGTTTTGCAGAGGGGTCAAATACCTATTTCCCTCTTTAAAATGCAAATTAATTCATAAAAAATTTTACATGCATTTTTCTGGATTTTTGTTGTTGTTATTCTGTCTCTCACTGTTCAAATAAACATACCATTAATATTATAGATTGATCATTTCTTTGTCAGTGGGCAAACGTACAAAATCAGCAGGGGATCAAATACTTTTTTCCCTCACTGTACATACATACATACATATACACATATACACACATACATACATATCTTTTTTGTTTTGTTCATATATTCCCCTTTATTACTTTCCAACCCCACCACCCTTTCCCTAGGGTCAGTCTGTTACATCTGGTGTAATTCTCCTGTCGTATCTGGTGTCCTGTGTGAATTTAAGTATGCTCCCACTAATTCTCCCTCTCTCCCTCCACTCCCGAAGGACCTGAGCTCTAGGACCATGCCTCAGGACTAATTGGCCTGATGACTCCTGGCTGTCCACAGTCCACCTGGTCATGCTGCTGCTCCAGCTTCAACTGTTCTGCCTGCGGCTATGGAACCCTGACCTGTTCACCGGATGTGCTACCTTGTCCCGGACCTGCTGTTTCAACTCTCTCTCTCGTCATTCGAGAGATAGAGTTAGTATAGAGAGAGGAGTATAGGATAGAGCGCGAGAAGTATAGAGCTAGCTAGCGAGAGCGCGAGAGAGAGAGAGCGAGAGAGAGTAGAGGATCTATAGAGAGCTATAGCTCTCGCGATCTCATCGCTCTCTGATCTATATGTCTCTCTCTATCTCTCTCTCTCTATCTCTCTCTCTCTCTCTCTCTCTCTCTCTCTCTCTCTCTCTCACACACCTGCTGTCTCGACCTCTGAATGCTCGGCTATGGAAAGCCAAATGACATTTACTCCTGGAGGTACTGACCTGTTGCACCCTCTACAACCACTGTGATTATTATTTGACCCTGTTGGTCATCTATGAACGTTTGAACATCTTGAAGAACTATCTGGCCTTAATGGCCATGTACTCTTATAATCTCCACCCATCACAGCCAGAGGAGGACTGGCCACCCCTCAGAGCCTGGTTCCTCTCTAGGTTTCTTCCTAAGCTCCTGCCTTTCTAGGGAGTTTTTCATAGCCACCATGGTTCTACATCTGCATTAGTTGCTTTTTGGGGTTTGAGGCTGGGTTTCTGTTTAAGCACTTTGTGACATCTGCTGATGTAAAAAAAGGGCTTTATAAATAAATGTGATTAAAACACTCGTCCATCGCTATCGGGAAACCAGGCCCAGAGCTAGTATGGCAGTAAACAAACGCCTGCTTAACAGTTGTTTATTTCGTATTTTGGAGAAATTACAGCTTGAAAAGTTCTTCAGCACTCGAGGAACAACTGTACTTTGGTAACAGATTCTTTCCCGATTTTATTAAGTGACTGGCTTCAATATAATGTTACTGAGCTAGCAAGCACAGTGAAAAAATGCTAGCTAGCCAGCTAAAACTGGTACAGCTAGCTAGCTAAGAGTACCTGCTGAATGAGGCTTTCATCTTTCCCCATTTGTTTCGACACTTGTGGGTCATCAGACTTAAAAAACAACAGCAGTAGGCCTATACCTAGCTGTCTTTTCACGTTTTTTGTATCTTTTCGCTAACTAAAGTTCAGTTATTTCTTTAGCTAGCTAGTTGAGTAGAAAAAACTGAAGGGAACTGTCGAGCAGCCATGCAGTGAGTGTGTCAGTAACCAGCTGCCTGCAAAGTGGGGTGCCCACTTTTCTCAGGCGCATTAATTTGAATTGATTAAAACAGTGTATTGTTAGGTAGCATGCTTTGGTGGGGAGAACCTATTGAATGTAGAATCAAATTTTTGTTAATGACATGTCACAAGGTCTAGAGCAGGGCTTTGCTTATAATTTGCATATGTCAGTTATAAATTCACAAGATAATGCCCCTGAACTTTTGCTCCTTCAAAAAGAGATATGGTACACCGAGTTAACTTCCATAAACATGGCTATCTCATTCCACTGGCCAATGATGATAGTTTCTAGAAGGATGAGCTCACTCTACAAACACTAGTACTGTCCTTCTCACAGTATCACAGTTGAGTATTAATCAATCTCCAACCAAGCGCTGAGTGCTGCTCCCTGAATGAGTGTGCTTCTGTATGTCAGAGATGTAAGGTCTGGTTTGGTTCCAGGAAATCAGCATACGGTTTTCCTGGCATGAACACACTTTGCACAGGTCTTGCTAAAATAAAATGAACCGCCTGGTCTTGCATCTCATCAAACACCATAGCATATTATTACAATACAAAATCACAAGACAAAGCTGGACATGGTGGGAAAAGTCGAGGGGAAGCAGTTCACCAGTGCAGGACCGACCTTGTGCTCTATTTCCGACAAAGAGAAAAAATATTAACATTTAGGACAGATGTTTAGAGCAACCAACAAGCAGGGAGGGCAGGATCAAGACAACTAAAAAGTTAAAGTAGGTAGCCTAGTCCCTAATTAAGTGCATCTGAGATTTGCTCTCTTTCCTAAAAGCAGAATTCTTCCTTCCTCTTCATTTTTCGCCAGTTAGACAGCATTGCCAAATAAGGATATAGGAATGGACACTGCAGCCAATGTCTACCAATACTCTTGTAGGCCTACCCCTCAGACAAAAACTCCTGTGACCTACAGTATAACCGCCCAAAACAACATCAGTCCAGATAACTTTAGTCAGTCCCATTGCTGCAACTAAGGTTCATCCATCCAAGCCTAGATGATTCAATAGACGATTGTCCAATATTGTTCATGTCTACTGTGGCTATTTGGGGTACTGAAACAACAGTCATGCAAACCACAACAAAAACAGCTCACTATCTTGACAATGCAAGCCATTGAGCAGAAACACTACACTGAATCGTGGCTAAAGACGGACGTAATAAAGGCCTATTCTCAGTCAAAAAAGAGAATGAAAGGCCAGAAAATTAACAACAGCAGCACAAAAAACATATAGTAAGATTCTACAAAGACAATTGAAAGGTACAATGCTGCCAGCTTTTGATTCCTCTTTTAGCTCAATACTAAGCAGTGACATATATGGGCCAGTCCTGTTAGAGGCCTGAAACCTGATGCATGGATGGTGCAGTCTGCTGAGTCTCTAGCAGGAGACTGGACAGCTGCTTGACAAGAAGGAGTTGACACTGTCCATCAAATTATCTTGAGCTCCTGCACCAAAAACAAACAAAACAATCCATACAGCAAAACACACAACTAACCTCAAACTAACCAATAAATTGACTCTTTACATTCAATCATCTTCCATTGTGCTACAGTGCAGGTGATCTTTGAAATCCAGATGGAGAGTGCATTAGGAAAGTATTCAGACCCCTTGACTTTTTCCACATTTTGTTACGTTACAGCCTTATTCTAAAATTGATTCAATTGTTTTTCCCCCCTCATCAATCTACACACAATAGTCCACAATGACAAAGCAAAAACTGAAATATCACATTTACATAAGTATTCAGACCCCTTACTCAGTACTTTGTTGAAGAACCTTTGGTAGTGATTACAGCCTCAAGTCTTCTTGGGTATGATTCTACAAGCTTGGCACACCTGTATTTGGGGAGTTTCTCCCATTTTTCTCTGCAGATCCTCTCAAGCTCTTTCAGGTTGGATGGGGAACGTAGCTGCACAGCTATTTTCAGGTCTCTCCAGAGATGTTCAATCGGGTTCAAGTCCGGGCTCTGGCGGGCCACTCAAGGACATTCCAAGACTTGTCCCGAAGCCACTCCTGCATTGTCTTGGCTGTGTGCTTAGGGTCGTTGTCCTGTTGGAAGGTGAACCTTCGACCCAGTCTGAGGTCCTGAGCGCTCTGGAGCAGGTTTTCATCAAGGATCTCTCTGTACTTAGCTCCGTTCATCTTTGCCTCGATCCTGACTAGTCTCCCAGTCCCTGCCGCTGAAAAACATCCCTACAGCATGATGCTGCCACCACCATGCTTCACCGTAGGGATGGTGCCAGGTTTCCACCAGACGTGACGCTTGGCATTCAGGCCAAAGAGTTCAATCTTGGTTTCATCAGACCAGAGAATCTTGTTTCTCACGGTCTGAGAGCCATTTAGGTGCCTTTTTGTAAACTCCAAGCATGTTGTCATGTGCCTTTTACTGAGGAGTGGCTTCCGTCTGGCCAATCTACCATAAAGGCCTGATTGGTGGAGTGCTGCAGAGATGGTTGTCCTTCTGGAACGCTCTCCCATCTCCACAGAGGAACTCTGGAGCTCTGTAAAAGTGACCATCGGGTTCTTGGTCACCTCCCTGACAAAGGCCCTTCTCCCCTGATTGCTCAGTTTGGCTGGGCGGCCAGCTCTAGGAAGAGTCTTGGTTGTTCCAAACTTCTTCCATTTAAGAATGATGGAGGCCACTGAGTTCTTGGGGACCTTCAATGTTGCAGAATTTTTTTGTACCCTCCCCAGATCTGTGCCTCGACACAATCCTGTCTCGAAGCTCTACGGACAATTCCTTCGACCTCATGGCTTGGTTTTTGCTCTGACATGCACTGTCAACTGTGGGGCTTTATATAGATAGGTTTGTGCCTTTCCAAATCATGTCAATCTAGTTGTAGAAACATCTCAAGGATGATCAATGGAAACAGGATGCACCTGAGCTCAATTTCGAGTCTCATAGCAAAGCAAAGGGTCTGAATACTTATGTAAATAAGGTATTTTTGTTTTAATTTTTTTATACATTTGCAAAAAAATCTAAAAACATTTTTTTTCTTTGTCATTATGGGGTATTGTGTGTAGATTTATGAGGGGTGAAAAGTAATTTCATCAATTTCAGAATACGGTTGTAACGTAACAAAATGTGGAAAAAGTCAAGAGGTCTGAATACTTTCCGAATGCACTGTACAAGAGTAGTTGTAGTGTGTTTCATTACACAGTACCTCTTCATTTTGTCACCACTGAACCTGAAGGTTGACATAACATGTGACTAGTTTCAGGAAACTAGGCATATGTCGAGCGTCACTACTTTACAGGAGAGGCATTTCAACGTATTTGTAATTTTTTTTCTAAATGTGTTTTTTGGCAGAAATGCCTTCTGGAACATGTGAACTTTCATGAGCCTAAATAACAAACTTGGATGCCATCTGTAAATACGAATACAATTGCAAAATTATGAGCCTAGTTGGTTTAGCCACGGGAAAAGACAGGAACCTTCACACTAGCCATGACATGCCAAGAGATGAGTTTGGATTGGTCTGCCATGTAGCACGCTTCTGTCTATAACATGAGCTGCTTGGTATGTGTAGGTCATCCTTTCTAACGCAGCTATTTTTAAAGATATTGCAAAGAACTGCATAAGTGTTGCTAATGCTCTCCACTCTCTGGAGGACCGAGTTTTGAAATCAGTGGAATGCCCGATGGAAGCAGAGTAAGCTAAGGGAATGGAGAAAATTCTGGCGTTTCATTGCAAATAATGCGGAGGGAACACACAGAAGAAGGATGTTGTATAAAACACCTGTCTCCGGATCACATCTTCAAACTAAGGGCAACCATGGCATCCATGACATAGAGGGAGATGTGTTCAGCTATGTATATGGATAAGAGAGTCTAGCTAGCTACATTTTCATATATTTAAAGTTTCAAATTTAGTCAGTAAGTCATTTTCATTGCAAGTTAAAGCATACTGTTAGCTGGCTAGCTAACATTAGCTAGGTGGCTCGCTAGCAAACTATGTCCAGCAACAACATGAAGACAGGGGCAGCATATAAGTCAATACCAGAAGCATTTATTGACTGATCTCAAAAGTGTTGGCTTACCAGGGTTGGTGGAGCCCTCAGTTTCATCTTTGCCTCGCAAAGCTAACTCAAACACGCAAAACTTCACACACTGGATTAGCCGGCTGAGGATGTGGCGGTTCTTGCTAATGTCGTAGTAAATATATTTGTTATAGTGAATATGGAATATGATATGTTGAGTAAAATGTTGTGCTAAGATCTATTTAGGTCAGGAGCTGGTTATAAGTTCTGTTCCTATCCAATAACAATGGACAAAAGGGTCCTATCTTGTCAGCCTTGTCAGCAGGTGGCCAAGGACAACACCCACGCCATAGGCCTCTCAGTTCTTCCAACTCACGAGTTCTTGCTCTGAGGACACACACACACACAAACACACACACACACACACACATCATCACTGTTAAACACACACACACACACACATCATCACTGTTAAACACACACACACACACACACAAAAATCCCCTCTCTTAGGCTGAACATTTGAAGACAGAGAACCCGACTCAGAGCCAATGCAACAGTGACAGTAGCCTGCAGGGGACCTCGCCCAACTCATCAGGACCAATCAGAAGATCAGAACTACTAGATTGAACCTACTTCATTTATTGCATAAAATGTCTGCACACAATGTTTCGGGGCTCTCTTCAGATAATAATAATAATAATAATAATAATAATAATAATAATAATATGCCATTTAGCAGACGCTTTTATCCAAAGCGACTTACAGTCATGCGTGCATACATTTTTGTGTATGGGTGGTCCCGGGGATCGAA